CACTCATTCCAATTATTTTAAACTTGATAAAGGGGTAAAACAAGGGGATAATCTAAGTCCAACATTATTCAACTGTTTTATTAATGATCTACATGACACATTTGATCAGTCATGTGATCCACTTATTCTCAAACACACACATGTATCTAGTTTAAGCTTTGCAGATGACCTTGTTCTGCTCGCAGAGTCCCATATTGGTTTACAGAATACACTGAACAAATTGCAGAATTATTGCTTAAATTGGCAACTAACTGTTAATACTACAAAAACTAAAGTTTTAACTTTTCAAAAAATATATAAACCAACTCCTGTTTTTTATTATGATAATCTTGAAGAAGTAAAAGAATATAATTTCCTTGGAACAATAATTGATCACAAAGGTAGTTTAAACAAAGGAGTACTAGAGCTGTCTAAGAAAGGCTTAAAAGTAATATTCACCCTAAGAAAAATCTTCTCCAATTTCACACAATTACCTGTGAATTTGTCTTGTAAATTATTTGACACTCTTATTCGCCCTATTTTATGCTTTAATAGTGAAATCTGGTTTATGGATGATTATCTTCCTTCATACAAAGCAATACTTAAAGCAATGAAAAATAACAACTCATGTGATAATCTCGCTTTACAAGAAAAATCTGTCTATGAAAAAGTACATGCTAGATATTGTAAAACAGTTCTAGGACTTAACAAAACAGCATGCAACATTTCATCATTGTGTGAACTAGGTAGACTTCCAGTTTCTTCTTTTATTAAAACTCAAGTTATGATGTACTTTGTACGACTAAACTCTCAGAATGTAAACCCCATGATTGAAGAATCATATAATATCAATATGTCTTTGCATGAAGAGGGATTTTACTCATGGCATACCCTCGCACTGTCTATATTTAAAGAAAATAATTTAAATAGCAATGAATACAGGAAAAAAAATGAAAAATTTGACAACATTCGAAATTCGGTTAAAAAGAAGTTGAAGAAAATAGTACTAGATAATTATAAAGGCAAAACTATGGAAAAAATATCCAAATTCACAGAAAACTCCAAACTGTATTTGTACAGTAAATTAAAACACAATCTTAATATGGAAGAATATCTTATGCTTGAAAATAGTTTCAAGAATAGACAATTACTAACTAAGTTTCGAACAAGTGACCACTGCCTACTGATTGAAACTGGTAGACATAAGAAAATACCTCGACAACAAAGATTATGCACTTCATGTAATGCTATTGATGATGAATTTCATTTCTTTTTACAATGTAATTTGAATATACAAGCAAGGAATATACTTATAAAAACCATGTTAGATAATTGTTCCTCATTCTATCTCAAATCACCCATACAGAAACTTGAATATATACTTAGTCCAACACTTGAAGTTATACCGGCTGTTTTCACTTTTATAAAACAATCATTAGAATTAAGAAATAAAAGGTCCACATCGGTGTAACATATAAGGAGTAAATTACTTAAATTGCGCCTATTGTATAAATACATTCATTGTTGTTTGTTTCTTTTCTAATTATGAATTGTATTGCTTGACCCATATGGGTGTATTATGCAATAAAGAATAATTATAAAAACAACCCTGGCAAGAACTATGCGTAAACTTGTGTAATTATATGCGAGTTAGTACAAACGCTGTTTAAACATGTAGACCTATGTATTAAAAAAAAGGCAGCTCTAACATGTGGAAATATTTCTATGGAGAATAAAGATTATACCAAATGTAGATATTGAATGAATTAGAAATCGACATTTTTTTTAATTTAGTAAAATTTAATACATAAAATACAAAAAATGTAGGTATCTTTCCCGTCAATTTGTTAAAATATTTATCAAAGATCAGTACTTACGTATACAACCCTATTTATTTTTCCAGTGTATATTATATTTACGGGGTTTTTTTTCTGTAAAGGATATAATTTCAAAAGTTTTATTACCTGTTAAAAAGAACATTAATAATACAATAGTAGTCTTGCAAATGATGGATGGATTTGCAAACAGATCATGGGCTGTACTATTTACTACTACTACTACTACTATATACTACTGACCGTAGGAACCGGGGGCCGTGCCCCCCCTAACTTTACCGATATATAGATTACTATAATAAACATAGATACTGTATGCTTGAGCCCCCTCAGTAATAAAAACGTCTGATGACGTTTTTTTTTTTTTTTTTTTTTGGTTGTCAAGGAACTTTTGGTAGTTGATTACCTTTTTTTTTTTTTTTTGCTCGTCAGGAAATTTTTGGTAGTGCCCCCTCAACTGTCAACTGAAAGTGTATGGCTGTGCCCCCCCCCTCCCCCCCCCCCCCAACTGAATTTGCTTCCTACGGGCCTGTTACATACCGAGTATTTCAAAAATCGATATTGTCGAATCAAACCGTGACTGCACAAAGTATCGGCATCGTAACAATCTTATTTGCTCTGGGCTCAACAATTCTTCTTTATATATAACACGATCATGTCATAAACTCGGGATTCTATTGCTATATCGTTTTTACAGCAGTATGTGTGTTTCGGATCGGGGAATAAGAAACTTCAAAGACGCTGATATTTTCAGTGATTCGCGCTTATCATGGACTTCAATACCACTGGCCCCCGTATTTATTTTGGGTTCATGTTAGGGATATTTCCCACGTACGTGTCATATATCTTTCTTTAACAGAATATTACAGGCTTAATCAAAATTTTAATTCTAAACAGAAAAGGTCATTTTTAATAAAATGCTCTATTCTATGTTGCATTATGCGATTTTTCTTGGAATAAAAAACGACTTAATAACTTTTTTGAATGACAATGAAATCCTCTTGGTATATCGTATAGATGTATTAAACAGGGAAATATTTTTTTTTTTGTTTCTAAGGGTTTGATGTAGAGTAAGTAATCGAAGTTGTAGCTTAATTTAAGCGTAATTTTATATAGGATATTCATCAGGATCATCCTCCGATAAAAAGCTCCAGTTTTGAGTTGCCGTGCCTTATTAACGACTCGCTCAAACTGAATTGACTGAACTACGAAATCAGATAATTCACCTGAAAACATAGACACATTTAAATTTACAAAAAGACTTTAAATTAACTAGATAAAATATGGTAGAAATACATTAGTCTAATGCTCTGTTTACATCAGTGGGCTCTTGTGACGTCATAAATCCACAAATTCAAGAACGATAAGCGGGTAAGAAAAGTAACAAGTGGAAAAGTTTTCACCTTTATTTTTCAGTAGAACAAAGGCCAAAAAATATTACTACTCTTAATTTATTCTTACATATATAGCTTTAGGTTTAAAAAGTGAAATCCTTGTGTTAAAAATCGTTTCCTATGACCTTTAATAAGAATGAAATATATGGAGATAACGAACAGTATTCAAGCTCAAGGGGTTCATTAAACATAACAAAACAAATGCAGAGCAAACACGGACCTCTAAAACATTACATTTGCATTTGAGAAACTTTAACCTTCGCCATAGGCTGCCATACGGGGGGATCAGTGTTTCACAAACACATCTAGTTTCTCTAAAATTTGCAGGTCATCAATTTTCAGTAGAATTTTCTTCCAAACGATACAGACCACTTGCTTCTCCCAATAAGATAAGAAATGTGATTTTTCAAAGAATTTTATGCAACGTAGAAAAAATATTGAAATGTATAATGGCTTGTGGATACTAGTTTCTTAAGGAAAATCCCCCCTGAAATGAGTCATTTTGAGGGCATTTTCTGTTTAAAAATTTAGAAATGGACAAGTTAATCATGTCATGTTTCATCATGTTCCTTTTTCGCGTCATATTTCTTCATGATTTATCAAATTCATATTCTTACCTCATAATTATGCCAGTTTCAAAACTGTTATGAAAACGTTAAATTTATGGTCACCATTAGGCCATAAGCGAACCTACTTCTTTGAAATCCTAAAATTTTACCAAAATTAATAACATGTAAAAAAAAAAAAAAAAAAAAAAAAAAAAAAAAAAAAAAAAATCACATAGCGCGTTCAACATTTTCCATTTATGCCCTTTTTATATGTGTATCTGTTCCACGTTGTCTTAATTATGATTAATATTAATAATAAATATCATTCAAAGGGTTAAAGTATATACACGTTGCACTTTGAAGGTATCTTGGAAAAAGACAGTTCTACACTGTTTCATTAAATTTTGCAAATTCATAGCAGATTGTTTTTATTTTACTGATTTTCTAATTTTTTTTTATCTGGAAAATATTTACTTATATTGACTTACTTGTGTGGCAGATGCATATTTTATTAATTTTCTTTGCATACATGTATATTTTAAGTACATTGTATCATAAATATCATATTTTATTTTGATTAAAAATACACATTTTGAATAATATTATTATTCAGTTTTGTAAATCTTTCACAGTGTGCATTCACTCATAGTCTGTCAATAGGTGTTTATAGACAGAAGTGGCGTTTAGAAAAAAAGGAAATAGATACGATAAACACATTAGGTGTTGACCCTTGTATCAACCAAACATAAATAAACAGACAACTTGGCTGAGACAGAGAGGTGATATATGAATTAAGCAAGGGGAAAAAGATTTGTTTGGCTTTATTAATTAACTTCATTTTATTCCTCATATCTTAAAAAATCAATTAAGGATTTAAAAAAAAATACCCAACCATGTAAAAACACGTGTGTTAACGTTTGACACAATCACTTGGATGATAATGACCCCCCCCCCCCCTCCCCCCTTCTTCCGAACACACTCGCATACACACGATTAATATTGCATTTCTGTTTTCCCCATTAATTACATGTATATTGATTGTACAATCACTGTGAAGGTCAAAACATAAAATTTAAGTCGTCTTTTAATTCCGCAAAATATCATATTTAACTTATTTATTAATTTTGTTACAAGAAAGAAAATTTTTTTTCGGGATCGAGATTCCACACATGCGCCACAGGACAACACGACGAAAATACCTGAGATCATTCCGATAGGTGACAGGTCGTCAGCGGAACGTTTGACATGCACCTGGAAAACCGTTAAGCGTGCAGGTGACAAGATCAGAGATAAATCTCGGATTTTTAGGGTGGGCGGACTGAGACTCACAAGAAAACTAAGGTCAGAAAGAGAGCAAAAAATATGATATTTAGACGAGTACAGACGCCATGAGACTCGATCCCGGATAAAAATAAATTACTGACGACAAGTGTGAACGAAGAGGGCGCCATTAAACAATGACTTCGGCGGACCTATATGTTCAGGTAGGCAAAAGATTCAAAACAAAAACGTGTCAAAGTTGTGGTAGATTCTAACTGTCAGGTAGCTGACTGTGTGGCTACTAAGCCGGTTCTGACACGAGAATAACATTTTAGGTCAGTGGGAATATGATATTTTTATCTGCACTGTCATTGTTTTGCTGTACATGACTAATTATCCTCACACAGGTGCCGTTTGACACCTGTCGTTTATAGGTGAGAGGGGCGGATCTAAGAATTATGCAAGTTCTGTTTTTGATATGTAACAGAGATATTTATGTGCCTCTGCTGGGGATTGAACCCCGGGGCCTCTGGCTTGTCAGTCCAGTGCTCTACCGATTGAGCTAAAGGGTTAACCCACTAGACCAAGTTACTTAGTAGGATGCCGTGTATCTTACACTACCACAGATACATGTCTCATGATATTCTTTTTTGACATTGATATTTTTTCGACATGTATCAAAAACTTATTTATTAATTTTTTTTCGATGTGAATGAGCCCATAACTGGGACTCCTTACTTTGAAGTATCTTCCATGAAACTGAAGCAATCTGTAGTTGATTTTGTTTGTTACAAACTGCCCCCCCCCCCCCAAAAAAAAATCAAACTTGCCCCATCTTACATGTACAGTTTACATAATGCCACTTAGCTGCAGATCTGTAGCTCGCTGGTAAAAAAATTGGAATGGATCCTACATACGTCAAATTTACAAATCATGAAAACATAAAAACCTTAGAATGGTTTGAATCCTGGGTTTCTGGTGCTTGATTCAGTTTCTACATGAATATAGAGTGTGTTTTGATTGTCAGACTCTAAGGTGAATTATCAAAGATGCAGTATTGTGTACAGTGATTGTCCTATGTTTTACATGCATGCAGTGATTGTCCTATGTTTTACATGCATGCAGTGATTGTCCTATGTTTTACATGCATGCAGTGATTGTCCTATGTTTTGCTTTAGTGAGACTGAAATTAAATGTTCTTCCAAATGAATCTACAACATGTGAATAGAGAGAGGAGACATTGTTATATTGACATGGTGAGGGATGTTAGTTAATGAGTTTTTATATCTGTATTGTAAGTGATAGGGCTCATATATCCCCCTCCCATCACCTTCCGACCTTTAAAGACACAAAGATAAAAGAAACTGTATGTGTATCATATAGGCAAAGAAAACCTGGTAAATAGTATTAGTGCAAATGTTTAGGAACTGAAATTATTTGGAGCGATTACAGCTTGTAATACAAACCATGGGACGGATCTACACTAGGATGTGTGTAGTGTTAATCTATCAGCTGATTCTACAATGGGTATTGCGCAATCAATGTGTTACATTACTGAGTGTTATGTCAAAGGAATTTTAAATCTTCCATGAGCTTCTGAAATCTAGAAATTCTTAAAGAAAGCAAAATGACTTAATTCATGGTTGATTTAGGCAGATATAGTGTTGTTTTGTGCAGCTTCTTTGGTGATTCATGAAATAATGAGACTTTTTTAGGGAGTGAAAGTTTAGGGTCTGTCCCCAGGGCTTTCAAAAAGTTTAGAAACAGGTGGTACTTTTATAAAAATAGGAGGTACCTTGTGGAAGCCATTTTAAAAAAAAATGTTTTATCAAATTTTTCTCCATTGAATATTTTCAATGGAGATATCATGATTTCAGCAGGGTAAAGTACTGGGTACTGGCAGATTTTGAAAGTCCTGTTTCCCTGACCCTCTGTCTGTTGTCTGTTTTCCTGTCCTGACCCTGACCTAGGTTATACATATCTTTTTTAACATGTTCTATGTAAATCGTTCCTGTTTATATGTACTTCAACAAAGTTAATCATGTTTCCTTGTGTTGAAACGACTTACACTGAAAAGTAAAACTACTGGCTTCCTGTCTTCTAAAAATAAAAAATAACAAGAGAGAGAGAGGGGGGGGGGAGGGGGAGAAAGGGATAGAGAGAGAAAGCAAGAAAGAGTGCATTACCACTTAGAGAGTCCTGATCGACATATTGTAAGAGTAATTTTAAATTGTGAAACTTAAAAAGATACTTCCCAGTGGATAAATAACAAATGTAAGATTTGCCACAAGCTGAGTGCCACATATATGTTGTTTAGTTCAGATACCATATCAAAAAAGAATGAACCTGATGCATGTTCAAAAGTCATTCACATGTCATCAGAATTTTGGTAAAGACTTAATTATGTACAAAACAGGGTCATGTGATTTTTTTTTAAATGTAAACATGGTAAACTGTCAGGTAATTGTCGGTTTATATTCCAGAACATCAGATCACAAATTCTCTTTTCTCGGCTTAACAACACCTTTAAAATGAATCTCCACAATTCTTTTACAAATGCCATGATAAACAAATAAGCAATAGTGTGTGTATAAATCAGTCTGGTAGAGGATTGTTCTTTGATTCCACATCTCTGGTCTTGTGTAGATCTGCTTAATATATACAGAATATAAACTACACCATCCAGAAGCTTATTACATCCTCCTTCACAAAATTCATTTTTCTTTTAGAAACCAATAATTAAACACAAACATAATTATGAATATATACAGACTACCAGGGCTATTAATTGTTTGATGGAGGTAGATTTGCCAAAAAATAAGCAATGAGAAGTGATGTGTGAAAGGCAATATTGTCAAAATGGTCAGAGACGCTTAATACCTTGTTCTCTCCAACTTGATGGGACCCATAATTAAAAAAAAAAGAGAGATGTCCAATGATTTGAGATTTTGAGGTTAAAATACATTTATATATTAGAAGTTTGAACTTTTAACATGTTTAATTCACTTTGACATTATCCATGTCATGATATTTGAGATAGCAAAGTTCGAGATAAATAAAAGATATTCAACTACATGTTTATACTTTTCACTTTCAATTCTGAGTCTTAATTAATTCTAATGATTAATTATTTAAGTAGAAATAGCTGCTAAATTCATCATCATGTGACCTTGAACTTACTTGTGTTACTTTGTTATCCTCCATTAGTCTGGTTCTCAATCAGCTTCATCAAAAACAGAAAATTAAAAAAAATCTCAAAAATTTTGTACAAATCTAAACATGTGTATACATAATGTAGACAAAGTGAAGCCTGCTGTATAGATCAACATTTAGCCTCGATTGACATTTCACTGGAGTAATGAAGAACAATTACTGGTGAATTACTTTTAGTAATGATCCTTAGTGAATCAGGCCAACTCAGACTACAGTTTGGTGATGAGGGAGTTCTAGGGCAGTACATGACCACTTTGATTTTTCTGTGGCTATTTTGGCTTTGAAAATAAACCATTGCATATGCCAGCATCTGTGTTTGTCATTGAACATTAGATATACATTACATGTAATTATATGTTAATGAAAAGTAAACTTTTTATGTTTTTTTTTTAAATCTGTCTAATTCCTATGTTGTGTTGACAATATGTCCGGGCATTCTTTATTCTTGAAATGACCCGTAAATTTGGGTCAGCATTAAGATGAGGCTGACTAGGAGGAGAAAGCATCCCTTCTCGCCCAGCCACAACTGCTGTGAGCCTTATGTATTGATAAGGTAGACAGAGTAATCCATTATTTTGAAAACAATGGCATAACAATTGATGAAACATTTAAGTCAAAATTTGACACATTGATTGTATTTGTAAACAAGATTATTTCAACAATAATGAATTATAGATCTCGCTGAATATGTTAATGCATAAGCTGTAAAACAGAAAACTAGTTAGACTTGGCCCACCTGCTTCTGTGCATGTTATTATTCATAAATATTTATATAAAACGTTGGAAGTTTGCAGTGACATGTAGAATATTGAATGAATAACTCATTCACTCAATACCAGAAAATCTGAGAATTAACCACAGGATGGCCATGTATAGACATGCAACCTTGTATAGATCAGAGTATTGTGTGGAATAATTCATGGATGTCCTTTAATGCAGTATGGGAATGTAATGGAGATATTCTTGTCAATTTGATGATGCATTCTCAATCTTGATTCATATTTGTGGAACAAAATTCAGACTTCTGCGATATTGGAAATTGTAGATTAAATGATCTTTTATTTTCTTGTAGACATATTTGATTTGGATTTTTCAACTCTGAAATTTCAACTTGAAATTGTTTGATCCACCCCTGAAATATCTTGTTTGACAGTGAATAGTGGCACATAACGTTTTACAATTCGAAAAAAAATTCAAATATTCTTAAATCCACTGAGGATTTATTCTGAAGACATTTAATTCTTAGATCCACCTCCAAACATGGAAATATTAAGATCGCATGTCTTTGATATTTATCGCCGATTTCAATTTCAGACGTTTCTCAAGGAGTCGGAAATAGGCCAGGTTTATGTGAAGGTTTGTATGTATGCTTGTCTGTGGTGGAGGAACGTGGTCATTATTAACACCTTAACATGGGTCTAAGTTAATTTGGTTGAGGTCCATTTCTAACAACTTGATATAACTTGGATGTGTGTGTAATTTTGTTGGGGGTTGGGGGTTAATTTTTAGGGCAGATCAATGTAACTAAAACGTCAGTTCAGGCGTTGGGGGTCAATTTAGGCTGGGGGTTTTATTTGTGGGACAAACAAAACTAACAACTTGACATAGGCCTTAGGTACAGTATAGGGGTAGTTTAATTAATGTGTGTGTGTGTGGGGGGGGGGGGGGGGGGGTAATGTAATGGGAAATCATAACTTAACTTTGACAGGCATAATTTGGTGGAGAAACATTACTAGATGCTTATTTCAAGGTTGAAAGTAATTTTGTGGAAAAGCCTTAGTATAGCTTATTGCGGAAGGGATGGAGGTGGAAGGGGGGGGGTAAATTTTGTAACCAAAAGTCTTTACTAGTTTCTGGGGAAATATTTCGTAAAAACAGGGCACAGGAAATCAAAATGAAGAAACTATTAAATATTTTAAAGACTTCTTATTTAAATTAGTTATTGCTTGACTTTAACATCTACTGCTATGGACTGATGTAGTACCAATAATTATAGATATATTTAGTGCTGTTATAATTAACTTTAACTTACAAGGCTGTTTTAGAGTACTAATACTTAGGCCACATAAACTTAAATTTATGATTGTCATCCTTATTTGCAATGAAAAAACATTGGGCTGGCAGGTGGTGGTGGTGGGGGGGGGGGGGGGTCAGGATGAGAGTCTAAAATATTTTTGTGTGGCCTTGTGTGTTGATTTAGTGCTAATATTCCATACTCACTTATAATTATCATATATCCTTACTTATTTTGGAAGAGTGTGTAAACTTATCTGACAGGTTATTAAAGGTTTGACAATTATTTGAAATTATGCCACACATATACTATAAATCACTGTTTATTTTTGAGAACTTTATTTTCGCTTATTTTTGCGAGGCTGTCTTCTAGCAAAAATTTGATTCTCACATGTATTTTTATTGTAAAAAATTATATCAAATGAAAGTCAAAATTAAGGTTTTGTCCTGTTAATAAATAACAAATGACTACCTCGCAAAAATAAGGTGTCAGAAAAATTTGGTGATGTATAGTATAGTGAAGTTATCATATAACTAAGTAGTGTCATCTATCTACTTTATCATTTTGTAAACCATGTTTTCTTTTGCTAATGACCAATCTTTCTGTGGACAGAGAAACTCAGAGAGGTCAGAGTTCATTGCTTTGGGAATTTAGTGAAGGAAAACCTGCTAGAAAATAATCTCAATATGTTCAAATACCATATTGCCAGCAAAACAAACAGCGAAGGAGAGCTGGTTTACAGTGTATATTAAGAAAGAGAATTTAAGAACTTAGCAACAGTAAATTAGGTTTTTAACACTATTTAATTAAACATATATAGTCTTCTAGGACAATTTTTACTAGTAAATTTAAGTTCTCTTTTTCTGCAGAAATAAAAAATCTTACCTAAAGTAATATGTAGAATATTCATACAGTTTTGTTCTCTGTGTAATAATTATAAGTTTGATATTTTTACATATTTTTTTCGATGTAAATATGCATTCATTTATGAAGTAAGCACTTCTTAAAACAATTTTGAATCATTTTGAATTTTTTTAGGGAGCCAGAATATGGGTCCCAGACTCAGAGAAGGTGTGGTTAGGGGCGGAGCTACTGGAAAACTATACAGGACAAAAGAAGATAAAAATACAGTTAGAAAATAATGGCGAGGTAAATAAAACAAAGAGATGCAATGTCTGAGAGAAACAGAGATAGAAGGAATGTTTAAGAGAGACAGAATGTCTAAGAGAGAGACAGATAGAGAGAATGTCTAAGAGAGAGAGAGCTTAACAATATGTTTGGCGATGAAGAGAAAGAGATATCCTTGATTTTAAGCAGAAAGTTGACATGTTTGAACTGTTATCATTACCTTCAGTGATTAATTGTAAACTATTAATTATCTTGACTACCTGAGTTTGTTTGCTCGTGATTTCAACATGTCATGAGGTTATAAGCATTGAAGATAAAATATCAGGACTTTTATTGACAACCAATGGTTTGTCCAGTACTGCAGATAATATTACTCATAGAGAAATGCATTTTTTTCCTAACATTTAAGAGAACGTAATAAAACATTGAATTTTAAGTTTGTACATTACATCCTGTTTATATTTCACAGAGAAAGAATGAATACATTAAAACAATTAACTCCTAATTAATTATCACTACAGTTCCTGATGACAATAGTAAAACAAAAGTACAACGTTCCTCTTTATTTCTCTCCGTGATCTCTTTAGTGTTACATTGTGTTTGGTGTTGTGCTCATTAATATGCGACATTAACGTCTCGTTAACAATCGGCCTTCATTATGTCCTGTCCATAAAAACCACATCTGGACATTACAGTGTACTTAGTGTCCTGGTCAGTGACCTCATGTTTTAACTGACCTGCACAGGTCACTTGTCACAGCCAATATTACTGGGCACAAGTTCTTTCTCATCTCAAGAATATCTAATACAGGAGGGGGCATACTTCACCTCACACTGTAGTAACTGACCAGAGGTCACATGTCACAAACAATATTACTGGACACAAAATCTCCCTTTTCTCAAGAGTATCTAACACAGGAGGGGCATATGTGTCCTAACATGCTCCCAAAACTGTTGGTCCTCCGTTTGTTTGATATCTCCTTTAATTACTAAAGTCTGATAAAATGTTTAAGCTTCACAAGACTGAAGGTTTAGTCATCTTTATAGTTGTCCACTTAACGCGACAAAACAGTGACCTTCAGAAGATTTAGTACATATTAAGATACTGAGTAATGATGATACAGCAAATATTTTAACAGTCTAGTCTATCATGAAAGGCATACATTGCATTATAAATGATCTTTTTGTCCTAATTATCTCCAGCAATAATCCAGATTTTAAGAGAGAAGGCCTTGATTGAGTTCTTGTTTTAAAACCTGAATGTTTAAATAAGAAAATGACAGTATTAATAGCCTTTAATTTATATGCATTCTTTATTTTCTTTTATTTAAGGAAAGAGAATTTGAAATCAAGGATAAAAATAGATTACCACATCTCAGGAACCCAGAGATTCTGATTGGAGAAAATGATTTGACATCACTCAGCTACCTCAACGAACCAGAGGGTTTGTTACAACATATTTAATCATAACAATTGTCATTTGTTACAGAAGATTTAATTGGCTAAAATTAATTTTGTTTTCTGATTGGAGAAATAGACTTGACCCCAGTGCTGTACAATTTATAAGTGTATTTTTTGGATAATAACTGTATCTAAACAATATTATTATATGATTGAATAATTTCCCTCTTTCTGATTGGCTGAGATCCAACAATGTTAGAAAAATACTATGTTATATTGACCTACACGTGACCTTCCAGGTCAATATAAGGAATTATTGCAGGTCAATATAATGAATCATGTGACCTTCCAGGTCAATATAAGGAATTATTACAGGTCAATATAATGAATTATTCCTGTTCCATTTTTTCATGTTACAATGTGTTCTTGTTGAAATTTCTCGTTAAAACTTACAATTAAAGCAAAAAAAACAGTCTTGTAGGAGTTTGCTATCATTTAATCATATAATAAAACAGTTATTGCTGTTTTTTGAGGTCAATACGATGATTTAGACACCTTCGAAGTTCAATATTCACCTTGCCCTTCGGGCTCGGTGAATATTGTACTCCTCAGGTGTCTAAATCATCGTATTGACCTCAAAAACCAGCAATAATTGTATATTATTTTGTTTTCAGTGTTATACAATTTACAAGTGTGATTTTTGGAGAGTGACTGTATTTTTTGTATTTTCAGTTCTGTACAATTTACAAGTTCGATTTTTGGAGAGTAACTGTATCTACACATACTGTGGTATCGTGTTAGTGGCCATTAACCCCTACCAACAGCTCCCTATCTACGGCAATGAACTCATACAGATGTACAGCGGTCAGGACATGGGGACCATGGACCCCCATATCTTCGCTGTGGCAGAGGAGGCATTCAAACTCATGTCCAGGTATGTTAATAAGATGTATACCGCTTGGCATTTAAACTCATGTCCATGTCTTTGTGTGTTAAAATTAGAACTGCTTGACATTCAAATTAATGTCAAGGTATGTGAAGGTGTAATACTGCTTGACATTCAAACTGATGGCCAGGCTTATAAAGAACTGAAACTCCTTAGGTCCAGGGTTGTGAATGTTTTTACCGTTTGTACCGCTTTGCATTCAAACCATCTGGAATGGGATTGATGGTGTCTGTGAAGTTTGCATGAAAAACATGCACATCATTTGTTTTCTGAAAAAAACTGCCTTTTTGGTAAAGATATTCTGACCAACTGTTGTTTTTTTCAGATTCGATAAGAACCAGTCTATTATTGTATCTGGAGAATCGGGAGCCGGGAAGACTGTGTCAGCGAAGTACGCCATGCGATATTTCGCGATGGTCGGAGGTTCTCAGAAAGAAACTCAGGTGGAACAGAAAGTCCTCGCATCTAACCCAATCATGGAGGTAAAAAAAAGAAATTATGCCCTGTCCTGATAATAAATCAATACATAACCCCATCATGGAGGTAAAATAACCCAATACATAACCCCATCATAGCATCATAGAGGAAAAATAACCCAATACATAACCCCATCATGGAGGTAAAATAACCCAATACATAACTCCATCATAGCGTCATAGAGGTAAAATAACCCAATACATAACTCCATCATAGAGGTAAAATAACCCAATACATAACCCCATCATGGAGGTAAAATAACCCAATACATAACTCCATCATGGAGGTAAAATAACCCAATACATAACCCCATCATGGAGGTAAAATAACCCAATACATAACTCCATCATAGAGGTAAATAACCCAATACATAACCCCATCATGGAGGTAAAATAACCTAATACATAACTCCATCATGGAGGTAAAATAACCCAATACATAACCCCATCATGGAGGTAAAATAACCCAATACATAACTCCATCATAGAGGTAAAATAACCCAATACATAACTCCATCATAGAGGTAAAATAACCCAATACATAACTCCATCATAGAGGTAAAATAACCCAATACATAACTCCATCATGGAGGTAAAATAACCCAATACATAACCCCATCATGGAGGTAAAATAACCCAATACATAACTCCATCATAGAGGTAAATAACCCAATACATAACTCCATCATGGAGGTAAAATAACCCAATACATAACTCCATCATAGAGGTAAATAACCCAATACATAACCCCATCATGGAGGTAAAATAACCTAATACATAACTCCATCATAGCGTCATAGAGGTAAAATAACCCAATACATAACCCCATCATGGAGGTAAAATAACCTAATACATAACTCCATCATAGCGTCATAGAGGTAAAATAACCCAATACATAACTCCATCATAGAGGTAAAATAACCCAATACATAACTCCATCATGGAGGTAAAATAACCCAAAACATAACCCCATCATGGAGGTAAAATAACACAATACATAACTCCATCATGGAGGTAAAATAACCTAATACATAACTCCATCATAGCGTCATAGAGGTAAAATAACCCAATACATAACCCCATCATGGAGGTAAAATAACCCAATACATAACTCCATCATGGAGGTAAAATAACCCAAAACATAACCCCATCATGGAGGTAAAATAACACAATACATAACTCCATCATAGAGGTAAAATAACCCAATACATAGCTCCATCAAGTAGATGAAGAAAATGCGTCTACCCTTGTAGTAAATTATTTTTGACACCATCATGGAGGTTCAGAAAATGTGTTTAGTACCCGTAAAGGAAATATATTTAACCACATTATGGAGGTGAAGAAAATGCATAAGTTATGTTATTAATTTGCTTGCATCTATTCCTTGTAAGCATATTTAAATGAGCAATGCATATATATGTTTATATGTAACATGTATTTCCTATTTGCAGGCTATAGGTAATGCTAAAACAACGAGAAATGACAACAGCAGTAGATTCGGGAAATATATAGAAATCTCCTTCAACAAAAACAACGAAATCATCGGCGCCCATATGAGGACTTACTTATTAGAAAAATCTAGGTAAATCTACCAATATATCCTAAGTCTGTCCTAAGACATTAAGAACTATTTAAAGCTTTATGATGAATTCTGGGTAATTTTTCGGAGTGGTGTATCAAGCTTTATGATGAATTCTGGGTAATTTTTCAGGGTGGTGTATCAAGCTTGATGATGAATTCTGGGTAATTTTTCAGGGTGGTGTATCAAGCTTGTTGATGAATTCTGGGTAATTTTTCAGGGTGGTGTATCAAGCTGCAGATGAGAGGAACTACCACATTTTTTATCAACTTTGTGCTTCCAAAGATCTACCTGAATTTAAGAAGTATTGTCTGTGTAAGTATGTCTGTCTGTTTGTCTGTCTGTCTGTCTGTGTGATGTCTTTGTGTATTTATTTTCCTCTGAGTGAAGGCATATGAATTAGTGCTGATCATGTCTATGGCACTACATGTAGTATGTCTTTATATGAATGGTGTATAATGATACTCAATAGAAATTAATTAATGGTGATTTAAAGTACAGTTCAGTGGAAGCAATACTTTGTGCCTGACAAATCAAAGCCAGTCTTTCTGTTTGACATTTTATTTGTTTGTACTGAATTATACCTCAGTAGTAGGACACAATGAATTGCCATTAAACACCACATTTACAATTTCCTTGTACATATATTGTGCTGCATGAAGATAGATTCTATCTGAGTGACAGGGATAAAGAGTGTATATATATTATACATGTTTAATTTGAATCCTTATTTCAGTGTCTCCTGATGATTTTTACTACACGAGTCATGGCCAGGCTCCAGAAATAGATGGCGTGGACGATGGTGAAGATCTGGTTTCTGTAAGAGAGGCATTCACAATGCTGGGTAAGGGAACCAGGCAGGAAGGGACTAGTTAATACTGAGTATTAATAATCTAAATGTAGCTTTAATTAAATTTAATTAAATTTTTGAATTTCCACAAGTAGTTATATTCCTATGCAAAGGAAAACAAAAAAATGAATTTAAACATATTTGAGCTGATAGCAGCCAGAAAGATTCGACTGTTCAAAACTAACCATGAACCTTGAGAGCCCTTTCTTATGCATTAATTTGCTGTAACTGACTCAGAACAACATATACTGATGTCTCCGACTTGTATAACTGACTGTAACAACACATACTGATGTCTCCGACTTGTATAACTGACTCATAACAACACATACTGATGTCTCCAACTTGTATAACTGACTCATAACAACACATACTGATGTCTCAGACTTGTATAACTGACTCGTAACAACACATACTGATGTCTCCGACTTGTATAACTGACTCGTAACAACACATACTGATGTCTCCAACTTGTGGTTGTTTTAAGGAATCTCTGAGAAGGAGCAGATGATGATATTCCAGATTCAGTCGGCCGTCCTACATTTTGGTAATGTTAAAATACGGGAGGCTGACGGAGAATCGTCCGAAATAAAGGTCAGTGTGACCTTATTATCTCCAGAATAATGAGGTCAATATGTTCAGTTTGTGCTCCAACATAATATCACAATAATTACATTATCTTTTATTATATTCATCAGCTAAAACCCTTTGCTATCTTAATGTTTTTTGTGTGCATTTTCCATGTTAACTTTTTTACAAGGATTAGAGTTGATGGAGATTTTTTTTTCTGATTTTACAGAAGGATGACAAACATTTAACCATTATGTGTAAACTGCTGGGCATCGAGGAATCTCAGATGAGGATGTGGCTCTGTAACAAAAAAATTGTCACCGTCGGCGAAGTGTTAACAAAGCCGTTAACGTTAACGCAGGTAAATAAAGGTGGGCGAAGTGTTAACAAAACCATTAACGTTAGCTCAGGTAAATAGAGGTCAGGGAAGTGTTAACAAAACCGTTAATGTTAGCTCATGGAAATACAGGTCGGCGAAGTGTAAACAAAACTGTTAATGTTAGCTCAGGTAAATAGAGTGTTACATGTAATCTATGTAAATCAAGTCCTATTTACAATAACTTTATTTTTGTGTAAGTAACCAAGATTGTATCTTGGATTGATTTAGTAGTAAAAGCAAATTGATGGTACAGTATAATATAGTATGAAGTTCTTCAGTGAAGTTGTTTTTGTGGTGTGCAATAATAATTTATTTCTGAATTTTTTAGGCATCCTTTGCCCAAGATGCTTTAGCCAAACACATCTACGCACAAACATTTGATTGGATCGTGGAGAAGATAAATAAAGCCCTACAAAGTGGAGCAAAGTCCACAAAGTTTATAGGAGTCTTAGATATCTACGGGTTTGTACAAAAGTTCTTATTTGTCACAAAGTTTATTAAAGTCTTAGATTTCTGTAGATATGTACTTATCACAAAGTTATCAACAAATGTGCAGTAAAGTTCTACAAATTCAGAGACATCTAGATCTATATGGGTTTATACTTAAATTATTAGGTCTATCAAAATTACAGGATATTTAGCTACTTGAACATGTATATAATACATATTCCAACAAACCAGAATGCACTCAAGTCAATAGATGCTTAGATAAAGTCAGGTGCAAACTTCATTCAGTTTAAGTTGAGATAATTTTTCCATAATGATTGTTCACAATAGTAGATGTATATTGACTAGTTTATTGATATTTATTATTTCAGATTTGAAACTTTTGAAATTAACAGTTTTGAACAGTTTTGTATCAACTATGCTAATGAGAAATTACAGCAGATATTTAATATGGTAAGACATATTCGTGCCTTGTACTTTACAATATTTTTTCCTGTGGGTAATTTCCTCAAGTATTGTCCTTTTAAAATAGATTTTTTTTGTTTATTTATAGCACGTATTTAAACTTGAACAAGAGGAGTATGTAAGGGAGGCCATTGAGTGGTCATTTATTGATTTCTATGACAACCAGCCGTGTATTGACCTGATTGAGAGTAAGCTAGGAATTCTGGATCTTCTGGACGAGGAGTGCAAAGTAAGTACTGATATAATGTAAGTACTGATGTAAGTAAGTACTGATATAATGTAAGTACTGATGTAAGTTAGTACTGATATAATGTAAGTACTGGTATAAAGTAAGTACAGTGAAACACAGTTATTAATAGCGAAGTGATTTTTATTCCTGATGGTTTTAAAATATCTTGTGAACTGAATGGATATAACGAGTTATGTTTAAATAACAAATCAAAATTATTGGTCCCTGGCACTGTTATAAGCATGTTTTACTGTACTGATGCAAATTCAGTACTGATTAGTATAACCTAAGAACTGATGTAAAGTTATTGTTCGTGTCCAGTAAGTAAGAGTTGTTTCCCTTACAGATGCCCAAGGGTTCGGATGAGAATTGGTGCCAGAAGCTGTACGATAAACACCTGGGGAAGGCCAAACATTTCGAGAAACCTCGAATGTCACGGTCAGCATTTATCATTAACCACTTCGCGGACAGAGTCGAGTATCAGGCTGATGGATTCCTAGAGAAAAACCGAGACACAGTACTGGAGGAAAACATCAATATACTGAGAGCCAGTGAGGTCAGTTATCTCCCCTTACACATATATACTGAGAGCCAGTGAGGTCAGTTATCTCCCCTTACACATATATACTGAGAGCCAGTGAGGTCAGTTATCTCCCCTTACACATCAATATACTGAGAGCCAGTGAGGTCAGTTATCTCCCCTTACACAGCTGGTTTCTCATTTTTGTGAACATAGAGTCAGAATTTTTTTTTAATAAATAAAAACAAATTTGTGTTTTATGAGAACTTATGTTGTGTAAATATGTATACATACAATAAAATATGTTATGGAAATACTTGTAAACAAGAGTTAATGATATCTGTAGTTTGAGCTCATATATACCTCTATCATTTTATATGTTGTAGTTTGAGCTTGTGGCTGAGTTGTTTGAAGAGAAAGTTGATCCCAATGAGAAGAAATCTCGAGCAGGCTCGGCAACAACTCACCCCCTTAGGCAGGCTCCAAAGGGAGGGCGGGGCTCAAACAAAAAGACAGTTGGATCACAGGTCAGTACACACATACTCAGAATGAGTACACATGTACTCAGTACTAGAATTAAAGCAAAGAGTATTTATCAGAGTAATGTTAATGCAAACTCTTAATCAGTTTTCATACTGCTAAATTAACTGAAGCTTCAGAATGGTCCTTAAGCTTTAAACTAAAAAAATATTCTAATTGTGAAAGTTATAATGTAACATCGTGCACATTAACTTTCTGATTAATAAGGACTGATTTGTCATTCACCTCATTTAAAGCTTTAAGAAAAATATATTTGCAAAATATTATCATCTATTTTATGTGTATCTTGTGTAAAAATAAAATTTTCAAACCAAGAATTCAGATACAATTATCTTTCAGAGCTTTTCTCTATGATATTGAGGAATATTTCTGTGTTTCAAACATATTGTAAATGTATTATATTTAGTGTGTACAATATTTGGTGGAAATTGACTTTTGAACAAGCTGGCTAGATTTGATTAAGATCGTTTCTTAAAGTTCTTATTAACATGTATGTACATGTATATATGTGCAAGACATTTAGCATTGTACTTGAATTAGAGGAAGTTGTTTTCTGCCAAATGCGCTAAAAAGAATACACAGCCAAATGTGATACCTTAACAGTAAATTTAATCTGATGGCTTTATATCCACATTACTACTGAGTGTTGTTAATTTTTAGCAAGTACAGAAAGCCACAGTGGGAGATCAGGTATTGTTGTAGTGGTTACTATGGTTACCATACTAAACTGGTTCTCTGGCTTATATGTATCAATGTAGTGGGGAACCAAACTAATATAGTTCCAAGACCAGTGTAGATCACATGGCGGGAACAAAACTCATCTTGTTTACTAGCTATATTTGTTCCTGAGTTTGCCAGTTTTCCTGTTACTCAGAATTATGTTACACACACATGTATTAATGATGTTTGTTGCATATTCATATTTTTGAATTAATCCTATTCATTATTCCTGTAATCTCTTTAACTTAATCAGACCTTCATGTGTTTGTGTTGGGACTTCAGAGGTTTAATTTGGTGGCAAAGAAGAGAAGAATTACATAGTTACATTGAACAATACACTATGATATATATCAAAATATATAAAGTATAATGAGAAATTTTAATGTTCATACATTATAAGTGGTTAAGTATTGTATCACGGGAATTTTATGCTGCTTGAATTGTTGATTCAAAGCATTCAATTGATGATTGTAAAATGACAGTTGGTCGTTAATGCATTTTGTTGAGACTTTAACTAATGTAATTAAATTTAAAAGGTTAGTTAGGAAACATGTACACAAAATAGGGCAAGTGTGGATGTAAACATTTTTTTTATTTGATATATTTTTTGGCCATTTTTTGTACCAGCTTACATATACACGAGAGAAAAAGAGTTGCATGATTGAAAGCAAAAACTGACATAAAAAGGGGGGATAAACTAGATAGTAAATATTGTACATTTACATAAGTTCTAAGCAGAAGTATTTGTTTATACGGTTAAACTTGTCTAATCCGGCCACAACTGGTCCCAAAGGAATTGGGCGGATTAGACAATGTTCCGGATTGGACAACATTTTAAACAATTAAATTTATTGGAAGGGACTTTAAAGTTTACATCATATTAAGCAAGGTTTCAGAATTCACAACATCCGGATTAGACAAGTTTTAGTGTATATACATTATAATCTATTTATCTACAGTATTTGTGTTTTGGGTGTGATCTGCTTTCTCCATAACCAAGATTGTTTGTTTACTAACAGTTGCTAAGTTACAGAAATTTAACCAATAGAGAGTTTGTTTACTGATGGTGGTTGGGTTATAGTATATAGTCAATATAGGACAGAAGAAGTATACCATAGATCTTAATTTTAGTGATTTGTTTTTATTTAATGGCCTACATGGTTTGACTTCAGCAAAGTGATTAATTTGAATCAAATTTGAAGAAAGCAAAATTTATTAATTTTGATTTAGTACACGAATATTAAAAATTTCCTCTGAAAAGAACCATCAAATGAATTATGTCAGAAAAGTAGGTCACTGTATGTAATAAGGTAAAGCCATATATATCATGACCTAATTGCATCTCATTATGACATCATAATACTCATTTGAGATGTCACAAAAAATTCTAAAAATTTTAAAATGTACATGTATATTCCTGAAAATCTTCATCTTTGATTTTATAAATATATATGTACAAATGCATTCATAATTATACATGTATACTGATTCTTTTTTAGGATAAATAAAAACAAGACTGACTGTGACAATACATGGATCAAATTTTAATAATGTATTATATTTCATATTCAAATATGTGAAGTAAAATACACAGTTGTAATGATACAGAGTGTAATGATTTAGTGTCAAAAGTTTGAAGTCATTTGGTAACATTGTAGTTAATTTATTGCTATTCTTTGATTTAAGTTTAGGAGATTAGAATAACAAGATTAGTAATGCTAACAGAGTTCCAAGCGCTGCAATTTTACTGTGTTTGATCAGGTTCTATGATGACTTTTTTTGTTGTTTGCAGTTCCGAGAGTCATTACATAAATTGATGGAAACATTAAATGCCACGACGCCACACTATATCAGATGTATCAAACCCAACGACACAAAGGAGGCCTTCATGTAAGTCCTAACACTTCATATACAAACATTAAAAGCCACGACGCCGCAGTATATCAGATGTATCAAACCCAACGACACAAAGGAGGTATTCATGTAAGTCCTAACACTTCGATTCATATACAAACATTAAACGCCATGACGCCGCACTATATCAGATGTATCAAACCCAACGACACATAGGAGGTATTTATGTAAGTCCTAACACTTCATATACAAACATTAAACGCCACGACGCTGCACTATATCAGATGTATCAAACCCAACGACACAAAGGCATTCATGTAAGTCACAGGCCCCCATATACAAACATTAAATAAATGTGACAAAACAAAACTCCCAGAACTCCATCAATCTTGACTCCATTAATTACCTCCAACTTTGTCAAAAATCATTATAAAACATTCACTCTCTCTTGGTGTATAATGTCAGTTGATATATCCACAGAGACTTCTAACCTTACTCCCTTTATTTTCATCAGAATTCCAGTAAGGAATAAGAAAAGCTTGGGAGAAAAAGTTTTAGAAATCAGTCTTCTTCACAGTTACAGAATGTAATCAGAATAAATATATGGAATATTGTAGTATTTTCTGAATCATTTCTTTAATCCTCTAAATGTTATTGTGATAGAGTAAGATCCAGAATAGCTAGTATTGCTGCTTTGTTTATTTTGGACAATAAGGAGATCTGAAACACATGTAAATACTTCAACTCTGTTGTGTTGATGTAGATTTGAACCAAAGCGAGCCGTGGAACAGCTGAGAGCCTGTGGTGTGTTAGAAACCATAAGAATCAGTGCTGCCGGATATCCATCCAGGTAACTGTCCTCACCTGTACTGGATATAAGTAACTGTTCAAACCTATAGTGGTAGCCAGGTAGTTTATCCATACATGTATCCATTATCTATTTTTAAGGATTCTGATTGGTTGTCTATTTATAGATGGAGCTATCCGGAGTTTTTCCAGAGATACAGAGTCCTGGCTGGCTCTAAAGACATCAACAGGAGTGACCAGAGAAAGACGTGTGAAAATATCCTCACCAAAGTCATACAGGTAGGGGGATCCAAGAACTCTCTCACTTAATATTACTGTATGGAGCTGGGGGATCCAAGAGTTCTCTCAATTGTGTATAGGGTACTAGTTTTTGATCCAAATTTACCTCAGATGAGGAAGAAATCAAAGAATTCTCTCAGTATTACTCTCATCAGGCCAGGATCTAAGTATTCTCTACTGTACTTTTACAGTAGTAAGGTGGGGGTCCAAGAAAATGTCTTGGAGGGGGGGATCATAATCCGCCCCTCTTGTACAATCAGTCATTTCTTTGCATGGACATGATTTTCTTTAAGTTATAGATCTTCAATTCTGTACAAAAAAAATTAAATTTGACAAACTCCATTTCAGTTGTCAATGAGACCTTCATATATTGGTGACTCTACATTTAAATTATTTTATAATTTATTATTATGCGCCACGTTTGTATACAATACTGATGAATGATCTAAATTATGTATGAGATGACCTGATCTGTCTTTATATTAACTCTGTACTATATGTATGTCTACTTATGATGATCACTGCTCACCTTGATCTATCAGGGTAATGTGAACATAATGTATGAGATGTTAAGATCTGTCTGTACTATTTGTATGTGTACTTATAATGTTTATTGCTCGCCTTGATCTATCAGGGTAACGTGAAGAAGACACCACGAGGTCTCGAGGTATCAATAACTTCTGTTATTTCACTGTTATACATGTAACACTGTTCTATAACTTGTTATTTATTCAGTTATTAGTTTGTATTTTGAATATTCTTTAATCTTTATTATGCATATTTATTATTAATTTAGTTTGTATTATGAATATTCATTAACATGTTTTATGAATATTTATTAATTTGCATTATGAATATTTATTAGTTTGTGTTATGAATATTTATCAGCATTTATTCTGGACTCTTTTCTTTCTCTCTTAAGAGTAGTATCAGAGCTAGCCCATGATAGTCCATGATTTTAGGTTGGCATTGGGAAATGTATCCATGATTTTGTAGCAACATTGAATTTTTCACAAATAGAAAGATGAGTGCTTGTCAATGAGATTTTCAGTGTAAAGGCCAGGACTAAGTTTGACCTGTCTGGATATTTGGGTTTAATCTTCAATACAACTTTGTTGTAAATTAATGTAAAGTTTTGAAGGGAAAATGGAAGAAATGTTTGCAATGATTTGCAGCATGTGTATGAAGAACAAATATTGCATGGGATTGATTGCAATGTGTGTACCGGGCTTAATAGTATTTTCAGTTAGAAATCATTGTTAGCTACAGAAAATATTTTGTATCAATGGGGCAAAAAACCAAGATTTGTTAAAATTTACACATAATTATATACATAATAAGTGTTCAGAGATTACACAATTTACAAAACTTATACATATATCATAGGCATTGGAAGCAAATTGAAAATGGGGTGGGTGGGGGTTAAACCAACAAAAAAGTTTGGGGGGCTAAACCACAATTTTTATGACTATATTATGTCTATCTTTGCAAAAAAAAAGTTTCCGACATCTATGTTTATACATACTTAGTGCTCAGAGTTTACACAATTTAGAAGAGAAACAAGGATCTTGATACTGTATAAGAGTAATTATTCAATTAATAAGTTAAGTGTAGACTGAAAGGGTTGAAACAGTTGATGTTTTATAAATTACCTTTGGGTGGAATGGTATAACAAGGTTAAAATTCATAAAGTGGTTTGTCATTCTGAAATTGTCAGTAGGTGGATTAACAATGACTTACTGGATCCTATCCCCTACACAAATCATCATTTAAAGGTGCTTGGACACAGATTTGAAGTTAATATTTTCTCAAATTTTCTGTATAATTTCATGACTTATATGTTGCTATAGCATTTCATACTAAAATATAATAAAAATCTTATTTCATCTCGAATTTATTAAAACTTCGAATTTCTGGACGCGTTGGATTGACACATCCTTGCGCTTTCACATATTTTAATTTTATTCTTGTGGCAATTTTGTTGTGTATTAATGAAAAATATTAAAACTATAACCCAGAAAATTCAGAGTAGAAATGTTCGAAAGCAAAACCCACTCACAGTATTGTAAGTCCATGCTCAGTGGTGTGTGCAGAGTTTAACAATTGAACACACCCGGTGAATCGTAAACATTAACAATAACAGAGCTCGTGCCCTGTTTACAAAAACAGTTTACGTTTCACGGGTGTGTTCAATTTGTTAAACTTCGTACACATCACAGAGCACAGACGGACAATACTGGTGAGTTGGTTTTGCTTTCGAACTTTACTGCTCTGAATTTTCTGTATTATAGATGTAATATAACAAAATTGCTTCTTTTCTTATATATTAAGGATAAAGTTAAAATTTGTGTAAGTGTAAATATGTGTTAATCAAATGCATCCCGGAATTTGTAGTTCCAATAATTTCCAGATAAAATAAGTATTTAATTATAATTTCGTGTGAAATGCTATTTCAATATATAAGTCATGATATTATACAGAAAATTTGAGAAAATATTCAGTTCAAATCTGTGTCTAAGCACCTTTAAGGTCTAATTCCACAATTCTGTAGTCATCCATAAGCTAATATGTCTGTTTCTTCACAAGGATTATTTATACAGCTAACCATAACATTGCCCTGTGGAAATATAGGAATCTAACACTTCTAAGATTATGATTCTGAGAGGGGTATATTTAACTGTTAATGATAGGTCATTTAAGATATAGAAGAGAACCATTTCATTTAAATTTAAAAATTTGAAACTGAATGATAGTCCCTTTAAATGTCAGTCTGTTAAATGTTTGAAAAAAGCATGTTGCTTGGCAATTTCAAAAGTTGAAAAAAAAAACTCTTGGAAAGAGAATTTGCAAATGATTTTTGCATGGTTTGAATACCGTGGAAAATGTTTGATTAGTATCTAAGAACATGTTTTTTTTATCTTTTCTTCTTAATTCAAAAGATAGTTAAAAACTTAAAATTTTTGCTATTTTAAAAAAAAACATAAAATCTAGGCCGTTTTTTTTTTTTTCTACTTTCACTTTCATTTTCACAGGATCCAGACAAGTACAGATTTGGAAAAACCAAGATATTTTTCCGCGCGGGTCAGGTGGCTTACCTGGAGAAGTTACGCTCCGATAAACTGAAGGCGTGCGGAATCATGATACAGAAACACGTCAAAGGCTGGTTGGCACGACGACGATATCAACGAATCATGAAGTCCATCACCCTGTTACAGAAATATGGGCGGGGTCTGCTGGCCAGAAGGTCAGTTAAATTAATTTAAATAAGGGCAGGGATTTACTGGCCTGGAGGTCATTTTGATTTATGAATATAAAAATATGAAGGGGGGGGGGTTTCTGGTCTCGAGGTCAGTTAATGAATATTAAAGATATGGGTGGGGTTTGCTGGCTAGAAGGTCAATTGATAAATGCTGAATATAACTTCCTAACACTCTTCTGTGATATTCTGAATAAATATCTCTATATATATTGATGTAAATTTCTAACCTTCAATAGTCAAAGATAGTAAAACAATACATTTAATTTTTTTCAGACATGCCAAATTTCTACGGGAAACGTTTGCCGCCACTCGTATTCAAAAGCACTGGAAGGGTTACAAAGCAAGGTCACATTATATCAAAGTCAGGAAATCTACCATTATTATACAAGTAAGTCATTCAATTTCTTCATCTATTCCTTCTTTTTTCCTTCATGATTATAAAATCTTCCATATAGGAACTCTAAGAAACTGCTTATTTCTTGCCAAGAGATTGTAATCAGAGCAGCATATAATAAAACCTCACTGAATCCTTAGCATCTCGTGTCTGGGTCCATTGAATGAGACATTAAAAATAATGTCCCAACCTAACATATCAACGTGTATTTCCTTATGAAAACAACCATTAATTTAGCTTTGTGGTCTTTTAACAGTCAGCCATTCGAGGATTCTTTGGACGCATTCTGTTTAAGAAGGAGCTACATGAACATCGCGCTATCACGATTCAGAAACTTGTACGATCCTGGCTGGCCAGGAAGAGGTATAAGAGAGTGATGAGGGGGATCGTGTTACTACAGAGTCACTACCGACGACGCCGAGCCAAGAAGGAGCTTAAACAACTCAAGGTATGGGGCAAGAGTAATTGTTAGGGAGTGTTAATTATTGGAATTTATTTTGATTGTAATCACTGATTAAGCAGGGAGCATTCAATAATAGATGTGATCATCATATAGATTTTGTTTCAAATACATGTCATGATGTTTAATAGAAAAATTGAAATCCAAATATGAAATATTCTATCTTAATATACAGGATCCTGAAAGTTATAACTAATTTCTCTAATATTCAGTTGATGATTAAGGAGAAGCATCCCGTCAACTGAACTCCTTAAATTGATTAATTGCGTTCAGTTCGCAGATTTTTTAACTTTCAACATGTAGTTATTCTCTTTCGGTTTTTATTTTGTAGTTATGTACTTTCACTTTGTAGCTGTGTACTTTCAGTTTTTAGCTCTACTGGTCAGAGACCAGAAGAGCTTATGCAATAGTAAGGTGTCCGTCGTCCGTCCGTCTGTCTGTCTGTCTGTCTGTCTGTCTGTCCGTCTGTCTGTAAACAATTTTTCAAAACGCTACTCCTCCTACAGTTTTGGTCCAATTTCAATATAACTTGGCACACAAGTAGACTACACTAAGATACATAATTTAGTGCATCGGTTTTTGATTTCGATGGACGGTGTTGTCATGGTTACTAAAAATAGAAATTTCTGTGAAATTCCTTTAAAACGCTACTCCTCCTACAGTTTTGGTCCGATTTCAATATAACTTGGCACACAAGTAGACTACACTAAGATACATAATTTAGTGCATCGGTTTTTGATTTCGATGGACGGTGTTGTCATGGTTACTAAAAATAGAAATTTCTGTGAAATTTCTTTAAAACGCTACTCCTCCTACAGTTTTGGTCCGATTTCAGTATAACTTGGCACACAAGTAGACTACACTAAGACACATAATTTAGTGCATTGGTTTTTGATTTCGATGGACGGTGTTGCCATGGTTACTAAAAATAGGAATTTCTGTGAAATTCCTTTAAAACACTACTCCTGCTACAGTTTTAGTCTGCTTCTAATATAATTAGGCATACAAGAAGACTATACTAAGATACATAATTTATTGCATTGGTTTTTAAATTCGATGAACAGTGTTGCCATGGTTACTTAAAATAGAAATGTCTGTGAAATTCCTTTAAAACGTTACTCCTCCTACAATTTTGGTCTGATTTCAATCTAATTTGGCACACAGTTAGAATACACTACGATACATAATATGTATTTCTGTTTTTTTTTATTTGGGTGAATGGTGTTGTCATGGTTACCGGTACTAAAAATAGAAATTTCCGTGAAATGCTTTCAAAACGCTACTACTCCTAGTTTTCATTTGATTTCAATATAACTTGTCACAAAAGTAGACTACATTAAGATACATAATTCTATTTATTGTTGCATGTTGCAATGTTTCAAATCCAAGTGCTACTTTTCTTTTGTTATACAAACAGACCAGTAGAGCTACAGTCTCATCAGAGACTTCTGGTTTAGTTATGTACTTTCAGTTTGTAGTTGTGTACTTTCAGTTTGTAGTTATGTACTTTCAGTTTCATGCTTTGATTTCAGATTGAGGCTAAGTCTGTGGAACACATTAAGAATGTTAACAAAGGCCTGGAGAACAAGATCATACAGCTACAACAGAAACTGGATGCCAAGGTAAGGGAGGGGATCTAAAAATTGTACAAAATAGGGAGTGCATCTGAATCAAAATTGGGGTGTGGATCTGATTCAAAAAATAGGGTGTGGATATGAATCATAATAGTGTGTAGATACAGTATATATATATATACAGATACAGTAAATGATCAGTATTAGGAAGTCACCGTGATGTTGAATTAGAATTCTTTATAATTGAGATTCTTTATATCAGTTTAAGAAACAGTGAAAAATAAGGAAGTTCTTTATTACTAAGTTAACTTGTATGGTGCGAATCTGAATCCAATTATTGTACATGTGTAGAGTTTGTTTGAGATACTCAAATTCACCAGCAGATAAACAATTCAAATATAACCTACATCATCTGAATTATACATGGATCAGAAATATAAATAAACTCCTGCTGTCATTTATTACAGAACAAGGAGGGTATGACCATAAAAGAACAAGAGGTCTACATTAAACAACTGAAGACTGAGATGGAGAAGCTGAGGTCCTCGAGTGAGGAGGCCAAGAAGTCCTCAAACAAGATCACGGACCTGATACAGCAAATCAAGGACCTCCAGGAAGAACTCAGTAAAGAGAGGGAGGACAAGCAGGTCCTCATCACAGAAAAAGAGGAGTTAGTGAAGGAACACACACAGGTGAGAGAGAGAGAGAGAGAGAAACGGAGAGAAAGAGGGAGGACAAGTAGGTCCTCATCATGGAGAAAGAGGAGCTAGTGGAGGAACACACACAGGTGAGAGAGACAGAACAGGTCCTCATCACAGAGAAAGAGGAGTTAGTGAAGGAACATACACAGGTAAGAGAGAGAGAGGGGGAAGGAGGACAAGCAGGTCCTCATCACAGAGAAAGAGGAGCTAATGATGGAACACACACAGGTAAGTGAGAGAGGGGGGGGGGACAAAGAGGTCCTCATCACAGAGAAAGAGGAGTTAGTGAAGGAACACACACAGGTGAAAAAGAAACAGGGGAAGAGAGAGAGAAACAGGTCCTTGTCACTGAGAAAGAGAAGTTGTAAAAGGAACAAAGAGAGAGAGAGAGAGATGGGGCATGTAGGGGGCAGGTCCTCAAATTGAGAAAGGACTGTTAAAGGAACAGACACAGGTAACAGAGAGAGAGAAAAGGAAGAGGTTTTCATTACAAAGAAAGAGCTAGAAATAGAAAAAAACACTCAAGGAAAGATAGAGAAGGAAAAAGGAGAAAAAAAAGTCCTTATGACAGAGAAACAAGAGCTATGAAAGGAATACACACAGGTTAAAGTGAGAATGAGAAGGATTAACCTTTTACTTGTATTCATAAAGCAATATCTACAATATCTACCTATTCTTGTTTGTTACAGGTGTTAAGTAAGATGGCGGAGGAGAAATGTAAACTGAAGGAAGAACTAGAGAAGGCCAGCCTTAAACTACAGCAACAGGAGACCAGTACGGATGGTAGGGGGATCCAAGGTTTCTTTTGATTAATATATTAGAAATAGTGGTGGATCATGAATCTGCATAATGATTTTATTTATCATTTAAGATGTGCTAAAGAGGAAATTAGAGGAAGCTACCCAACAACTCCAGGCTGAGTTTGATTCCGAGCGTAGCCACCACCAGAGACTCGTTAAAGAGCACGCTCGACTCCAGCAGAGGTTCGAGAATCTACAGTCTGAGATGCAGATGGTAACATCACCACACGGCCACAAGCGGACTCCGTCTGACATCAGCGCAATAAGCCTGGAGTCCTACACCAGCTCTGCGTCCCCTGACGAAGTCAAGTACGAGGAGGAGGCACCGGAGGACAAGGTGAGAGGAGGGTTACTTAAGGTTCATTTACCTTCTGATAAGAGAGATAACTCTTACTACCAAAAAATTTATTAAAAGTACATAACCAAATTCTGACAGATAAGGTGAGAGCAGGGTGTTAAATAAGGTTCATTTACTTTCTGATAAGAGAGGTAACTCTTACTGTAAGGGAAAAATAGATTAATTCCCCCCAAAAATTGTAATATGCTGGATTTGTTTGCATTTTATTTATGACTTAGATTTCTTTTTGGGAAATCAGTGTCTTCAAAGCAAATTTTGTTTGAGTAAATAAAGGGATAATAAATCTTAAGGCTCAGACAGGCTTTGTAGATGATTAAAATGGACAAAAAAAATTTGGAGTTACCAAATAACAAGGCAGAGTACTACTGAATTGCCAGAAGGGGCAAATGAAGTTATTCAGTACTGTGTTTCAAATAACATAAGAACAGGCTAGAAAAGATTAAGAAATGAAACAAGGAAATGTGACACAGTTTTCTTTTTATGTTTCAAAATTATTATAATATTAAAAAAGATAAGATAGGATGGGTTATGAATAAAACAAATATTTTCTCAGAGAAGAAATGAATTTAAATGATGCACCATTATTAGGAATTTTGATGTTGATTGTAGGATCAAGGTTATGGTACAAAAAAGAAAAAGAAGGCACCTGCTCCTCCTGTACCAACAGCGAGCGCCATGGAGAAAGAAATGAAGGTAAAACTTTCTTCTAAAAAAAAATTAGAAACTATGTCACTGAAAAGAAATTAATTTTATTGCTATTCTTAATGAATGCCTAGAGAGAAATTAATTTTATTATTTTAAAAGAAATCCAGAGAACTGGGATCTTTGTATACACATGGTCAAGTGGATAAATTCTATTTCCACTTATATTTCTGTATCTCAACCATACATACTTCTTAGGAAAAAATTAAGTCTGTGTCTCAGTGGTGGATCCAAGATTCAAAATTTGTAGTTGCCTTGTAATGAGAGGTGGATCAAACTTTTTTTTGTAGGATGTTGATGTTGGTTTGATTCTGAGGCTACAGAACAAGATGAAGGAAATTGAGCAACAGAAAACAAAACTAGAGGAAAAACTGAGGCAGTATGAAGAAGAGGGTCATCCAAGGGCAGGCAACTCTGACGCTGTCATCTCAAACTCAGCTTTTGATGCTCTTAAGGTAGGTGTTATCATTACAGTACTGAGAAAAACACAGGAGTGGATCAAACGTTTCACCATTTCTGGGATGGATCAGTCCCTCGCCCACCCAAATATATATTGAACTCTTGGGAGGCTGCAGGACACAAAAAAGGAAAACTTTTCTTTTTGTTGTCAAATAAGAATTTGAATTGTCAATCTTTCTAGCATCAGATTTAGCCTCTGTCATAAAGATTTCACATTTATCCTGCTCCACTCATGCTAATTACCAGAATTTATTCTTATCAGCCAATCAAATTCCCAGAATTTACTCATTCTAGCCAATCAAATGTCAAGCATTAATTCCTATCCAGCCAATCAAATGTCCAGTGTTAATTCCTCCCAGGCAATTAAATGTCCAGCATTAATTCCTCCCAGGCAATTAAATGTCCAGCATTAATTCCTCCCAGGCAATCAAATGTCCAGCATTAGTTCCTCCCAGCCAATCACCAGACCTCACACTGTATGTTGTTCTTCCTTTTCAGTGTGCAAAAAATTAGTGTGTTTAATTTTAGGATGCATTTTTATTTTAATTTTTACTTTGTAAAAGTTTAAGAATTTGATTATAGTTGTGATAGAGCATGAAGTGTGAGCTGATGTTAAAGAAAAAAAATGTTAAATTTGTTAGAAATTTCTGTATAAAGTCTCAGGGGAGGTAACTCATTTAAAATTGAAAAACAGAAGAAAAAAAAAATCACCAGTAAATCTTGTAACTAAAGAAAACTTATCATCAAATTTTTTGCTTTTCTTCCTATACTTCTGTAAGATAAAATAAATTTATTTCTTTTCTTCACTTCTTTATTTCTTTTTTCTATAAAATCTTTCAAATTAAATCACTAAATCTGTCAACTATTACTAAACTACAGCTTCTATACAACTAGAAGGGCACTATTTCTTTGATATAAATAAATTTATTGATTCGGCAAAAGGAAGATGATAATTCAGAAAACAATTGACATATTAATTACAGAAGGAATAATTCTGTCTCAATGAATATTTTATGTAGGGAAAAGGGAAATAACTTTCAGGTTAAAGTTAGATAACTCTATTCCATCTCATATTTATCTCTATTTCCTTATGCAGGCCACACAGAGTTACAGACAGACAGACAGGCTGAGTTTTAACTTGTTCTCTGTCTTAAGGACATTTGTACTTACTTGTCTACATTATATCGTTGAATGGGACTTATTAAGATGATCTAATTATAAATCCTATTTATAGACATGTATATCTACCTGTTACGGCTATCTAAACATTGTGTACTGGACAGATTTCATTCATATTTATATTTTTTTTATTTCTACTTATTCCTTGTCTTTTTTAAAATTAAATTTATTTTTTAAAAGTGAATTGGAAAAGTGTCAAGATAATTTGACATTTTTATTATATTTCTCAATTAGCAAACCATTTTTGAATGTTGTAGATTTACTTAAGGGGATTTAGTTTGTTAAAACTTACAGAAGAGAAACTCTTCAATTTATACCATTTGTAGCCTGCATTGACTTTAGTGTACATGCAAAGTTTCAGAAAAATCTACCAGCTGGGTATTTTTAGGGACCATCTCAAAATACACATATTTATTAAAGGATTGTTTGGGGAAATCCATTTTTTTCTCACTTCAAAGCAAACACTACAAGTTTGTGCAATGCAAACCCTTCTCGGCCCTCTTAAATGAATAATCTACAGTTATTCTACAATAAAATTAGGTGTAAGCCTTACACATTTGAGCAAAGATTACTTATTTGAAATATATACCCATTATCACTCTATGAAAGAAACTTTTCCCTGATGATCAGTCATTCCTTGCTGCAGATTTTTTGTACCTGGTACATTCAAGTAGAAAAGGTGTCAGATAATTTTGTTGAGATGGTGTTTTTAGCGTGTTACAATTTGAATAATAAAATGTAAGAAATGAGGGAAAAGGTTGCTTGTTAACAGAAAACAGAAAAATCCCTGATTACAGCATGGGGGTTCTCATCAGGTAGCTTAACCAAGGAAGACAACTCCTGTATGACTTGAGGGATTAAGGCCTTTCTTTATCAATGCTTTAAACAGATTTGGGTGAATTTCTCTTGGTTTAAGTGCATGATCTGAGAAGAAAATGATGTGTTTTATCATAAATCCTTAACTTGTTTGAAATTTAATTATCTAAACCTCACTGAAGAATAAATCTAACATATATTCAGAATGGGTCTTGGACATTTTTAACATACATGCATAAAAAAAAATTCTCTGTTATGCAAAAACAGACATATTATTCTGTGTTCTGCTTGTCATTTAAGGTTGTTTACCTGTTAATTATTTGGAGAACTTCCTCATATAAGTTTTTTGTCTTTTTCCCATTTTTCTGAAATACAGGTGAGGGGCAATGCTTTATGTTTTAATGATAACAGTTTTAATCTCTTATCTTAAATTTAAGAACTGTCTCTCTCTTAAAATTTGTTTTAAATTGATTATGGAGAGTTGCATCAGAGGTCAGGTGACAGAAAATAAGACAAAACCCTAAACTTGAGGATGCTACATATGGCCAGACTGTAATGAGTTTTTGTATCAAGTCATAATTAGAGATGTGACGTAAGAGTTATATCCCTTACACAAAGTTACCTCCCCTGTTTATTGCTCATGTCTGCTGAAGTATTGTGTAGGAAATGCCCATGTTTTGCTGGGCATAGCTTAAGGTAGTACATTTAATTCAATTTTTGTTCAGAGTTTAAGTTCGATTTTTGTTGCATGCTTGAATTTTCCTTGTTTGTGTGTACTTGTCTGTGGTGGATCTTGAATTTTTGAATAAAAATTCAACTTGAATGTAGAAATTTACTTTATTAATCAATTTTGAATTATTACCATGTTTAATGATTCTTGTTATTAATTCATTGATTTAAAACTTAAAGAACCCATAGCAAATAAAAATAAAATGAAAAAGCAAACAACAAACTAACATAAACAAAAAACAATAAGCTTAAAAGAGAAAGAAAAGAAAACAACAGAGAAAAAAAGTGATGCTTCAGATTCAACAGAATATACCTGTACCTCTTAGATCCACCACTGAGGTTTTGTTTGATCACCTGTTTATTTTATGCACGAACCTTTGTATCTTTTCTCTCCGCTCCCCCTGCAGCAACAGCTTGTAAACGCGGACGACGTTCAGCTCGTGATCAAGTTACAGAAACGTGTGGCTGAGCTTGAAATGACAAAATCCAAGCTCGCTGATGAACTTGATGAGAGGGACGATGAGGACGAGGAAAAATCAGGATTTAAAATCACCACCCCCGAGTTTGCTTATAATAACTTAAAGGTAATGATGGACAGGGTTTCAGAAACAAAGAACAAACTGGTCTGTAGTTAGTTCTATAAAATTATGTCAGAGTCAACACATTTTAATGTTTGTTGTTAATGTTGATCAAAATTGTTCACTGTTCTTTACAATGACATGATAGCCCCCCCCCCCCCCAATAAAAAATTAAGTGTAGATTTTCTCCAAAATATCTCTGAAATTTAGAAATTGAACTTCAGACTAGCTGTGAATAATTCACAGTTAACTAGATGTGTAGTTTAACAGTAGTCAAGCTTTACAGTAAATGTTTTCCTTGCTTTACTACGCAAAATCACAATTTTTTTTTTAGCTTCTAATTAGTATATAGGTGTTGAAAGTAGAGTCTAGCAACTTAAAACCTTTTGTTGCAATTTGACCCAAATAATTGTCACATGACCCAGTAAACTGTCACATGACCCAGTAAACTGTCACATGACCCAGTTACATGTACCTAAGAACAGTAAGCTTTATTTCATGTGACCAAGTTAGCTTTTTAACAGGTGACCAAGTTAGCTTTTTAACAGGTGACCATGCTGGCTTTTTGTCATTTAACCGAGTAGCCTGTTCGACATGTGAACAGATTTTCTTTTTGTTATGTGACCAAGTTGGCTGTTTGTCATGTGACCAAGTTAGCTGTTTTGTCATGTGACCACGTTATGTCATGTGACTATAGCTACAGCCTTTGTTACAGAGTATGAATGGACATATAGACAAGGAACCTCCACATGATAATAAAGAGGAGGTAACTCTGAACGAAAAAATAGCATGGTTTGAAAAAGACTTTCTGGACAGTAATAGGAATGTAATAAATTATACAGTATTAGATTAAAAGGGAGATATCACATTAACAAAATTATCATAATAACCAATTGAAACTTAACCTGTAGAATCTGAAAGTTAGACCAGATGTAAAATTCAGTCTAAAATAAAACCTGGATTGTCTGCAATCATGAACATTATTAGTGATATGAATTTACATTATTAATAATTAGCATCTTGGATATTAACAATTGTTCATTTCGCATGAAAATCTCATGAGAAATCTACATGGTAAAATATAACATGCCTCTAAAAAATTGACAGAGAACCATAAAAATACATGGTGAAATCTGTAATCAGATCTGTTCCCCCTATAGTATAGGTTCTAAATTTATTGTATTTCCTGAGTCTTCCAATTGCATCACACATCCTCCACTCCCCTCTATATTTACCTTGAATGTTTTAAATATTATAAAATATCTGATATGAATAATAATAAGATCTCGTGCATGTATTGTGATATTTACTTTCCTGTATATTGAATTCTTTATTATTGAGAAAAATAATATTAATCATGTTGTGAGAGTTAGGTCATTCAGAAGAGAGAAAACTGAAATTGTAACCTTTGAAATTTCAAATGCAAGTATAATCTCTCACATAGAATATGGAATTCTTATTCAATTTGTTTAAAGAGAGGTAACTCTTACAAAATTTCTCATTCAATTTGTTTAAAGAAAGGATACCATTATGAAAATCTATAACCCTTACAATATTTGATGCAAGAGATAACTTTTTCAAAATTTAATTAAAAAAGAGAGATAACTCTTACAAAATTTGTCTAAGGAGAGATAACTCTTACTGGTTCTCCTAAACAGATGCAGGAACTTCAGAATGAGAATGATAAACTGAAGAGAGAGGTGGCGAAGTTAATGAAGTCCATCTCCCAGAATGTCAGCTTCGAGAAAGGAGGAACTAATTCCCCCGCCGGCAAGGAGTTTATGGGTAAGTCTATTTATAGACATTGGACTTGTGGTGACTTGTGATTTTATTGCTTGCTCAGAATCAGTCTATGTGGTGTTGTGTTACTAATGTTGAAATACTAATTTTCTTGCTTTAATGTTTATCTTATTGGTTTCTATAGCCAGAGAATGCTTAAAGTCATTTTTACACTTTATTTCTCGGGTCAAGAGGGCATAGCACCCTATTTAGTCTAGAACATTTTAATGGAATAGAAATAATCAAATTAAAAAATTTGTCAGTAAACTGTAAATGTATTATTACTTGTATGAAGTATATTTGGCAAAAATTAATTTATTAATAAGTAAGTGTAGATTTGATTTCTGAATGTCCTAGATATAGATATATATATGTAAAGACATCTAGCTATATATTTGATTATAATAAGCAGGTGCAGCTCTTCCTGAAAAACGCTAAAAAGAATACACAGCCAAATATAGTACATTTACAGTAATTTGTACTTATTTGTTTTTCTTTAGCTGGCCAGTAGAGAATTCCTAGTTAGTGTTAGGGTTATAATCTGTTTACACTAATCTGTAGTTATTTGTTTCTTTAGCTGACCAGTAGAGAATTCCTTGTTAGGGTTATAATCTATTTACAGTATTCTGTTATTATTTTATTCTTTAGCTGGCCAGTAGTGAATTCCTTGTTAGGGTTATAATCTATTTACAGTATTCTGTTATTATTTTATTCTTTAGCTGGCCAGTAGTGAATTCCTTGTTAGGGTTATAATCTATTTACAGTATTCTGTTATTATTTTTTTCTTTAGCTGACCAGTAGAGAATTCCTTGTTAGGGTTATAATCTATTTACAGTATTCTGTTATTATTTTATTCTTTAGCTGGCCAGTAGTGAATTCCTTGTTAGGGTTATAATCTATTTACAGTATTCTGTTATTATTTTTTTCTTTAGCTGACCAGTAGTGAATTCCTTGTTAGGGTTATAATCTATTTACAGTATTCTGTTATTATTTTTTTCTTTAGCTGGCCAGTAGTGAATTCCTTGTTAGGGTTATAATCTATTTACAGTATTCTGTTATTATTTTTTTCTTTAGCTGACCAGTAGTGAATTCCTTGTTAGTGTTATAATCTATTTACCATATTCTGTTATTATTTTTTTCTTTAGCTGACCAGTAGAGAATTCCTTGTTAGGGTTATAATCTATTTACAGTATTCTGTTATTATTTTTTTCTTTAGCTGGCCAGTAGAGAATTCCTTGTTAGTGTTATAATCTATTTACAGTATTCTGTTATTATTTTTTTCTTTAGCTGGCCAGTAGTGAATTCCTTGTCAGGGTTATAATCTATAATCTATTTACAGTATTCTGTTATTATTTTTTTCTTTAGCTGGCCAGTAGTGAATTCCTTGTTAGGGTTATAATCTATTTACAGTATTCTGTTATTATTTTTTTCTTTAGCTGACCAGTAGTGAATTCCTTGTTAGTGTTATAATCTATTTACAGTATTCTGTTATTATTTTTAGCTCACCTCGACGAAGTCGAGATGAGCTTATGCTATACCCCCGGCGTAGGTGTCGGCGTTGGCGTTAGCGTCGGCGTCCCAGGTTAAAGTTTTAGGAGCAAGTCCCATTCCCAAGTAACTATAAGCCCTACCTGGACCAAACTTGCATGGATGATGCATCTAGGGATGGACACTACCAAACTTGCTTCGGATGCTGGATCTGACCTAGATTTTCCAGATGAGTGACCAGGTTAAAGTTTTAGGAGCAGGTCCATTCCTTAGTAACTATAAGCCCTACCTGGATCAAACTTGCATTGATGATGCATCTAGAGATGGACACTACCACACTTGCTTCGGATGCTAGATCTGACCTAGATTTTCCGGATGAGTGACCAGCTTAAAGTTTTAGGAGCAGGTCCATTCCCAAGTAACTATAAGCCCTACCTTGACCAAACTTGCATGGATGATGCATCTAGGGATGGACACTACTAAACTTGCTTCGGATGCTGGATCTGACCTAGATTTTCCAGATGAGTGACCAGGTTAAAGTTTTAGGAGCAGGTCCATTCCCAAGTAACTATAAGCCCTACCTTGACCAAACTTGCATGGATGATGCATCTAGGGATGGACACTACCACACTTGCTTCGGATGCTGGATCTGACCTAGATTTTCCAGATGAGTGACCAGGTTAAAGTTTTAGGAGCAGGTCCATTCCCAAGTAACTATAAGCCCTACCTTGACCAAACTTGCATGGATGATGCATCTAGGGATGGACATGGCCACACTTACTTCGAATGCTGGATCTGACCTAGATTTTCCAGATGAGTGACCAGGTTAAAGTTTTAGGAGCAGGTCCATTCCCAAGTAACTATAAGCCCTACCTTGACCAAACTTGCATGGATGATGCATCTAGGGATGGACACTACCAAACTTGCTTCGGATGCTGGATCTGACCTATATTTTCCAGATGAGTGACCAGGTTAAAGTTTTAGGAGCAGGTCCATTCCCAAGTTACTATAAACCCTACCCGGACCAAACTTGCATGGATGATGCATCCAGGGATGGACACTACCACACTTGTTCAGATGCTGGATCGGATCTAGATTTTCCACATGTGAGACCAGGTTTAGATTTAGGAGTAGTCTCATTCCCAAGTAACTATAAGCCCTACCTTGACCAAACTTTCATGGATGATGCATCTAGGGATGTACACTAACCAACCTGCTTCGAATGCTGGATCTGACCTAGATTTTCCACATGAGTGAATTTTAGCCATATTTTAACCAAATTAGCATGGATGATGTATCTAGGGATGGACACTTCCAGACTTGCCTTGGATTCTGAATCTGATGTACATTTTCCAGAAGAGTGACCAGGGTAATTTTTTTTGGAGTAGCTATATAATATTATGGCCTGTTATGATTAAACTTGCATAGATGGTGCATCTAAGGATGAAAACTTCCAGACTTGCTTTGGATGTTGGAACTGACCAAAATTTTCTTGATTACTAAACAGGTCAAAAGTTTTTTGAGCAGGTCTATAATTAAATCAAACTTGCATGGATATTGATCTTGCGATGTACCCTAACTAGAAAAAAAATATGATGTGAAATTTGCCTTACTTATAGATAACATTCGTCGAGGTGAGCTTCGTAATCTTTGATTACCTATGTTTTTCTTTAGCTGGCCAGTAGTGAATTCCTTGTTAGGGTTATAATCTATTTACAGTATTCTGTAGTTATTTTATTTTTAGCTGGCCAGCTGTAGAGAATTCCTTGTTAGTGTTGATTAGTTTTCTGTTTTCTCTTTCTATATATTCCTTCTGTCTGCATGCTTCTCTTCACTGTGATTGGTTGATTTGTTGTCATGTGATCTCTGCTTGGTGTGTGATTGGTCCTCCCAATAATCACTATTAACTGTGAAATGATTGGATGTTACTAACAACATGCTGTGTTTCTCTCTGCTTTGATTGGCTGATTTTAAAAGATGCTAAGAAAATAGAGGATCAAGTGAAAGTATTTAGAGGTAATGATGTTAAATAAAGAAAAAGAGTAAAATGCTATTGTTACAACTAAAAAGAAAAAAAAAGAATCACAATTTATAAAATTGAGTTAAGGTCAGCAAAGTCACCAAGTACTGTAAACCAACTATTATTCGTGTCATCTTTTATTCCCAAATTGTCAGTTTGAAATCAATCCGGGGCAATTAATTTTCGTGACTGAGGAAACATTCTGTGCAAATACAAAGCAAAATAATTGGTTCGTGGCGATTAATATTCACTAGTAAAACTAGGTCACAAAACTTTATTTATCGCACATGAATATTTATCGCACACGAATAGAAGTTGGTTTACAGTATACAGACATATCGGGTCACCAAGTATACAGACGTATCGATATGCAGTGGAAATGGCTCCGAGTCCTAGTTATCTTTGTGGCTTTTTTTCAAAATCCTATCCATTCAGTGTCAAAATGGAAACAATACTATTTTTTTTTCAGAAAGGCAATATAATTCAAGCTTAATTGCAATGTTCGTCAGTGTCAGAAGAAAAAAAAATCTTGTTAGTCTTAATATTTAACTTTAATATTTACTCATTCATCATTTATCAAGGCATAAGTTACAACGTTTGAAACAAGATTTACCAGATTTATAAATTTTGAATATGCACACTTCAAACATTGCCAATATTACTGCTGAGAGTGAAGATTACTTTGTTGTTTACAGACCAGTTTACAGCGATGGCTGATGAGTTAGACAGACGTCGCGAGGAGTGTTTACAGTTACGGGCAATGTTAGCAGAGAAGAGCATCACAACACACGCCATCGCAAAAGAGTCGTACGGAGGGAATGATGACCTAGTTAATGAAGATAATGAGCTAGCGCTTGCTTACAGAACTCAGAAAGAACTCAACAGGTAAGATAATCTCTCATTCAGAGCTCAGAATAAACAACAGGAAGTTGAAATGAGACTTGGAATTATGGGTAAGTACTAAGTAGAGATATAAATAGATATGATATAAGTAGATACTCAGTAAAATATGAACAGCAAGTCAATAGACTTGTAGATCTCTGAATCAAACCTGACAGGTGAGTGGATTGAAAAAAACTCATGTGATACAAATTCATCTGAGCCTGCATGAAATGCATGGGAAAAAAATTGATTGGTGTTTATGTACTGAGTATGAGAATGAAGAAATCAGCCAGTGTAAATGTGTGCTCGGTAGGTAAGTGAGTTTGCTTGGTGTGAGAGTGTACTTGACATGTATATTAGTGTGCTCAACAGATGTGTGTGAGTATACTCAACAGATGTTTATGTGAGTGTGTTTAGCATGAGTACGAGCATACTGAGTGCACTAGGCAGGCTTTATTTGTGTACAAAGTTATTGTATGGTCTCTATACAGTGAGGAATAGAGAAGTTAGTGTGGACTAAGGCAAAAACAGTAATTCCTGTGTCTATATATGACAGAGAGTTAATTTTTTGCAATCACATTCCCTGAAAATGTCAAGGATTTCATTCTTTGCCACCATGCAATGAAACATTCCTTTTGATAAAGAAGAAAGAGAAGTCTGGCATCCAAAGTAGAGAACTTTAAAGATAAAGGGGGTGAAATGGCCCTACATGCACATCAGCAGCATTGATGTGTTATACTGTGCTCGATTGGGATTTCAACCTAGATCATCAATATGTGACAGCAGACCTGCCTGCCTATATATCACAGATAACAATGCTGTCCTGTATCTATCAGTTTCTGAATGATGATGACAGATAGATGAAGCTAAACTTATGGTAAGTTATATCCATTTAATATATTTATTGAATTAATAAAATAAAGCTTTTTAAGCTATTGAGTGGATAATACAAGTGGTAAATGTTATGATACTTCAGATTGTATTTACCGGTAGATTGTTTGGGGTTGAAACCAGTATACATAAACTTATTAATTAGATCTAGGAGGTCAAAGGAGGGATGTTTGGTTCCTTGTTTAAATGTTTGTTGACATTCTTTTTGAACTTTGAGACCACTCAGTCCATAAAAAGATTGTTGTGGGGGAGGTTTCACCTTAGATTACAGGTGGCAGTCTGTCCTTGTTACCTGTGTCAGGTATATGAATCCTGGTTGTTTGATCAGGTCTGACACAATCCATACATTCTCTGTAATGCTGACTCTGTCAGGTACAGATCTTTGTAGTAGAAACTGTATTAATTAAGGAACTCACTCTTATAAGGAGAAATATTTTGATAATCTGTATTTTAATGATTTCAAAACAGTGTGCAAAATATGTGATTACAACAATTGTATCTTTAATATACAATGACATGTACCAATATCCCATCACCTTAAAACTCAATGCAAATGACTGTGTAATTATATTTCAAATTTGAATCAATGAGTGACACAATTTTTTTATGTATGAAATTAAGTATTAAATCACTGAATCCCCCACACAAATTCTTACAATTAATCATCTGATTTAATTAATTGTCTGTAAAAAAAAAAATAAATAAATAAAATAAACAAAGTGTGAAAACACTGGCAGGGATTAAAAATAAAAGGAATTAATTACCTAAACTAATTAACATTAATTACCCTCTCTTGACATAATTGCATATATAACCACAGGTAGATTTTAACACCTTGAGAGGTAAACATTGAGTCAGGTATAATTGAGTTTTTGTTACCTATTTATTTCTCTGTTTACAATACAAGGTAAATCTACTGTGTAGTACCTATTTATACATAACTCATTGTCTACAAGCCCCAGTGTTACATACAGAGATAACTAAATTCCACCGTTTATGTACCGGTTTTAAATAAGTCAGGATACCTGGTTTATATTTCCACCTGGGAGTTACTTGTGATTATCTTTACCTGGATTTACTGAGCTTTGTTCAATCTTCTTGCTGCAGGTAAAATGTATCTATTAACTAATCATTCTGTCTGTTAATTAAGATTTTCTTTGGTCAGTTGATTCATTTTATTTCTCAGACAGTGTGTTTTTATTTCCCGTGAGCTAGAATTGATGTATGATGTGTGTGTAATATGGCCGATTAGATTTGAATTTCAAACAAATTTAACTGGTAACTTAAACATGTGTTACATGGTACTTTGTTAAAAATCAATAATAATGTTTGCAATATGCATTTTAAACAACTGACATTGTATCAACAAGTGTTACCCTCTACATGTTAAAATAATACTCCCTTTGTAAGGATCAGAATCCAGTTATCAGGACAAGAAACCCCCACCCCTAAAGCACCCTGACCACTAAGTCTTCTGTAGAGGGGATTAATATAGTAAAGTACAAAAAAAAATCCAAATTTCAACTAAGGTAATTTTTTTTTTGGCAACAATATTTTCAAATGGAAGCAAATTAATGAATATCGAACCACTGAATTTACAATGCATGAGGTTAATAGTCAGTCAGACCCCCCGTGTCTCACTAAGAGAGGATTAACAGATATGACAGCTTTCTTCTCCTCCCACGCTCATGTCCCTTCTTCCTCCTCCTTCCCATTCTTTCCTCATGCTCATCCTCACATGCAGTTTCCTCATATCCATCCTGAGGATTCCATCTCTGGAATTTCAGGGTTTTATGCCCTAGCTGTACACAGATGTGTTTTGCTTGTTTTTCTTTTGAAATTGATCACTGTTTTTATCTTCAACTTTTTCGTTCAATTTCTCCTTTCTGTCCACAAACTCTCAATCCCCCCCTTATCTTTATCCCCCTCCCCCATTTCTTTATCCACTCTCCCTTGGTGACTGCATCTTCCAATTTTCCCCTTTTAAACCAGGAGTTCTGCCCCCTTTAACTGAGTTAACCATCACACTCATGTGGTCTACTATGAATACATTGAGCTCTCGGTATTAATCTGCTAAAAGAAAACAGCTAGTCTTCTGATAGAATTTAATCTTTAATTTAATATTTTCTTTTCATGTAGATTCGTTTCACATAATACATAACCTGTCATTTACAGCCAGTGTGACATAATTGCCCACTGGAAATTTCAGCATTTTAAATTATCTCTATAAAATGCTTTAATTCTTTTGAAGGGATTTAAATGTATATTGAAATGAATATCATAGTTAAAAAGAAACCTAATGAACAGTTTAAAATGAAAATGTACCCCATCACATAAGAGAATCCCAGACCGTTGGTGACATAACTATTTCTATACAATCTATGTCCATCTTTTGTATTCACTCATAGATGTGTATTGAGTGGGTTTAAATAATTACCTTTGATAACAAAAACAGGTTTTGATACAATCCCTGGAATTCAACCAGGCATGCTACCTGTGTTAGGTACAAAAGATTCTAGGGAAAAATCAGGAATTTAACACAAAATGAACATGAAACGTTGAGGGGTCAGGTTAAACATCAGAACAGAGACAGGAAGTAAGGGGGGACACCATTATTGTGTTTGCTTTGTAATCGGTGATAATTAATGAATTAAATGACTCCGATGTCCGTTACAGAGAAGATGCAGAGGTATGTATGTGTTACCCTAGAGAGTCAGACCTGGGGAAGTTTTAAGATAATTTCTGTGTTATAAGTTTACAAACCCTGGGGTGGATTATGATGACATTGTGTGACGAGTTCTAGGGGTACATTGTGTGTTTGAGTTCTAGGGGTACATGTGATATTATGCCTGACATGGATATGTGATATAATTATAAAATTTCTTGAGATAATTGGAATGTGTGTTTGAAACTCTTTTGTTTATAAGATTATTCAATGAGCTTAAAATAAACATGTTGATGGAGTGGACTATACATGAAACGTGCAGGACTAAAGGTTGCAGAAATACGCTAGGATGATTTCTATAATATCTGAATTTGAACAATAAAAGGGCTTAAGTTTACATAAAGAGGACATTCAAAGAGATACACATCAATAGATTATTTAAAAGTGCAGACAGTGTCTTGTGTGAGTAATGTGTAGCTTTCATTAATGAACTTTTCCAATATAACCAGGGATCTCGATTGTCTGTATTACAGTTTTACTTCCTAAAATTCTGCATCTTTATTTGTATATTACAGGGAGGAAATGACTATTTTTAGTTTAATAATACTTTAAGGTTTTAAATGCATTTTTCATTGGTTGTCAGATCCATTCATCCCCCTTAGAAAACATTTATGAAGTTGTGTAATAGTGCCCCCCCCCCCCCAAAAAAAAATTTAATAGCTTAAAGAGTCCCACCTATTATTATTTAATTAATAAGTAAATTAAAACAGACATGATAAAGACAACTTTTATGGGTCATCATAATATACTCATCAATTAAAGAATTTCTTGACCTGCTGTACAAGGAAAGGATATCCATTATCCTGCAGAATTCTGTCAAAGGGCCCAGGGTTTATCTTTAATGGATAAAGAAAGGTGTAAACCTCTCTCAAAGACTGATCTTTTTAAAATGACAAAGACAGCACGGTATCGGAGACATTCCGTGTTGATTATAACGCGAGGGGATTACCATTGTCATCAGGTGCTGGATTAACTCTGATGTAAATATGGATTTAAAGAGGACGTCATATTTACCGATACCTCAGGATAAATGATAATCACCACAAAAAAATACAGGCTTAGGAAGACTTTCTTCACAAGAATTACTCATTTGTGGGAAATTAATATGAAGGGGGGGTTTTCTACTTGATAATCCATGTGCTAAGCTGTGATCAACATAAGAATAGTGATTTATACATCACAGAGAAATGAGAACTGATAAAATTAATATTCAACATAACATGTATACTGCAGTATGATCATTTCATTAAGTAGAATTTTGATGTCAGTGCACTTTTTTAAAGCTTGATCAGAAATTTAGTTTCCAGAGAGAAATTATAAAGAAAAGAAAGAAAAGCCAAAACTGATCATTAAGTTTAGACTTTAAGGTGCTCCATCACAATAACCTACTGAGGGATACACATTTATTTGAACATTACCTGATACATGGTTTCTACCTGTGACCCTGTGAGAATGTTGAAGTAAGATAAAATTCAAACAGGTCCATATACAGATAAAAGAAAAGAGTTTATTTGTCAGAAACATCCCCATTTGTACTACAACCTCCTAATTATGGACTAACACCTCCCCATTGGGGGTGTGTAGTTATTCAGATAAGGGGCCTACGAGGAAAGACCAAATGTGTAAAATATCTTGTGAGGAAGATAAGAGTTTACTAGTCAAAAAACATCCTCATTTGTAAGACAAAGGCATTTTTGAATGGAGTTTTAAAAAAAAACAACAACTGGATTTCAAGTTCTCTTCAAATATAGAGAGATTTTCCTGTGATTTAGTGTTACTTGTGGACTACTTTCAGCATCATTGATATTTCTTTTATTTGTTATTAGTGTGTCTTCCTTTTCTTTTCATTTTTTTTAATAGATTTTCAGATCGTGTTTGTTTTGTGGATTATTTTGATGTTAACATGATGAATACTAAGTTTTTCTTGCAATTAATTTTTTCTACTACTAAAGGTAAAATTTTTCAGAATTAATCAGCTGGAAAGATATGCTCTTTACAAATAAATTGTTAATGTTCCCCTGAAGGCCAGGCTACAATGATACCTCCCTAGATATGTTTGTTGTAATTCAAAAATCAAGTGTTAATTCAAAAACATATATTTCTTATGTTTATTAAACAGATATTTCTTAGATTTGTTTTTAAAACAAATTTCCTGTTTATTTGAGCTATTAAATAACAAAGATTTCCTTAAAATTGAAATTTCTGACAATAATGCATTTTGGGGTTTCAATGATTGAACATGGTAAACAAAATAAATGAATTGTTAATTTTTGTTTCCCAATGTTTTTCATAATGAAATTTTCAAAATCTTAGAATTATTTAAGGAATTAAAATAAATTCTCCTAGCTGATGAACTTGTTTAAAAAAAATAATTGAAATATGAAAGTTATCTTTTTAAGACAAAAAAGGGCCCTTTCCTAATTTTCTGCCATTTGTATCTAACATGACCTTGATCTCAATCCTGTCAAAGTACATAAAAATGCTTTAAAATCAAAAGATGTGAAACATGACTACTTCATTCATTATTTGGAAGTTTGGGAGAACATTTATTGTTATCGATAAGGAAACAGCCATGTAATCCGAGAAGTAAATGGCTGTAAATCTTATTTTTATGTTTTACGCAGTCATTACAGTTTTTGTATGGTTTGGTATTGCTAAGAACTAAGCGAAACTTAAATGTTTCAGATTATATTTTAAACATGTTAAATTTTAAATTTTGATCTTTCTTTGATGTTTTTGTTTTCTAAAGTCAAAAATCAATTTCTTTTTTTTCCAGCTCAGTAGAAAGACATGAGTGGATAAATACTCAAAATGGAGGAGAGTTATTCCCCTTTGACTGTAGAAAATGACAGCATAATATCGCACAGTCAGAACGGTTCAGGAAACTCAGGACCAGTGTCCAATGTCAGGAACACCATGGGAGGCAAGGAATCGAAAGATGAGAAAGGTGGAAAATTTACTGAGGACAAAGTCCGAGGTCAATCTTCCTCAGACCACATTAAAGACAAAGAATCAAGCATAGAGAAAAAGGCAGGGAACAGAGACTGTGGTGTTTTTGTTTTAAATATCAAAGAAGAGATAGGAAAGTCTGCCTGTGGTACAAGAGAAGAGGAAATGTGGTCTAATGGTAATAAAGATGATGGTGATTTTACCAAGGCCAGACCCCAGGATCATCATAACTTAACCCTCTCTCTGGGAGATGACTTTAAGGGGAATGATAAAAAACTTAACTCTAGAGAAGAAAACTCGCCCGACACAAAGAGTGACCATGCTGTCATTGAAAACATTCACAACAGAGATGAAAATTTTACAGACTCTAAGATAAATGTTCAGGAGGATTTTGAATCTCATGGTAAAAGTAGTCCGTGTAATTTTAATAGTTTTAGTGATCCATTAGGTGACTACACAGACAATTTACAAAAACAGGGACAGTGCAATAATTGTCAGAACAAGGATCAAATCCATAAATGGTGTTCATGTTCAAAACAAGCTGATGTGTTCAAAGACAATAACAATCATACAGATGGTAATTCTCCCTGTGGGACTTGTTCACAAGAACTGGGACCTTTAGAGTCACTTCAAACTAAAGGTCTGGATTCTGATTCTATAGCTCAAACTTGTCAACACCAAAGTTGTTCAGCATGTGTGCACAATCAACAGAGCAATGCAAAAACTCATGAACCTTACGAAGGTTCAGCTAGACATGAACCAGTAGGTGGTTCACAAACATGTTCACAGTGCAGTGAGAGCAGTGGTGTGATGACATCAGTGTTTGATGCTTTATTCTGTGAGAAGTGTTATAAAGAGTTTGAGTTGAATGTCTCTGTGGCTTGTTCAGTAGAAAATAACTGTTCTGAAAAAACTGGTTCTCATGAAATCCCAGAGGAAACTGGTTCCTGGCAGAGGATGGAAGCTGAAGATAGCCATTTGATAGACAGATCCTATCCAGTTCAGGAGTATGATTTAGGAAATTATCAAGATTTAGGAAACAATAACATTTGTGAAGACAGTGAGTGTGGGTATATGGAAATTGTTGATCCGCATGAAAGTAATCAGAAAAAAGAGTTTGAACAGGAAAGGGAAACACAGTCCATTGAAGATGACCCTAAATACAGAGAAGTGGAAAAAAGCCTACATGGGATTGATATACATGTGGAAGACTTTCCTGGAGGTGGAGAATTGGTGGATGAGATCTTTGACAATGTGGATGTGTTTGATGATACAGTAGAAGCCAGCACCGTGATCCAGACATCTGATTGCGTCCAGTGGGAGGGGAACTTTATGTGTACATGTGAGGAATGTCTGAAAGGGCTCCGGATTGAGCGAATCGTGACTGCGGATAAATCCACCATGTGTCCGGATGATCCACCTTATGTACTGATGTGTGAGATCTGTGAGGAGTAAGTAGTGATGTAGAAACAAAGAGAGAGAGAGAGTGATAATTAACCCCAGGTAATACTGATAGACCTGGGGGTCAGTTAATGTACGTGAGAGTCAGCTTGGTGTATGTGTGTGTTAATGACTAATGCTGATGTGAGGGTACCCCCTTCAATGTGGATAGGTGTGGGAGTCAGTAAGGTTGATGTGTGTGATTGTCAGTTTGGTTGATGTGTGAGTCAGTAACTAACTATGGTTGATGTGTGAGTCAGTAACTACCTATGGTTGATGTATGTGATAGTGATGTTTATGCCTGTATAAGAGAAGGGTCTTTTATGTAGTAAGTGTCCTGCATTTCTGGATTATTTCTGTCCTATCAATGTAAGTACTGAGCATTCTTTTTGGAGAAAAAAAAGAATATACGAGGAAAGCAACAATATAACAAGTCTTTTGTAAGCAAAAAGGTTTGTAACTTTGGCCATAAGCCACATTGTCTTTGAAGTCACATTGTCTTTGATATAATAAGACTTCAGTTTAACACACAATATCTTTTTCATGGTAAAATTGGACTTTTTTCTGCACGCTTAAATTCCAGAAGTGTGTTAGAATGTTATTCAGTTCTTGTAAATGTTGCTCTGTAGTTGAAAATTCAATTAAAGCTTGTATAACTTTTCTAAAAATAGGAAGATGAGAATTCCTTTGCTAAAAAATGGATTTTATATCAATGACCAGGTTACTGGAGAACCAGCTACAAAAAACAGAGAAGGACACGAAGAAGAAAGAGGAGAAACTGAAACGGGAGATAAAGGAACTAAAACAGGAAAATGAGGCAGCGCAGAAAATCATCAGCCAGGTAATACACGATACATGATACACCATGATACATAATAATACAGGTTATACATAATAAAACGGGAAATAAAGGAACTGAAGCAGAAGAATGAGGCAGCACAGAAAATCATCAACCAGGTAATACACGATACACCACGATACATAACCATACATAATAATACATAATAAAACGGGAGATATAGGAACTGAAGCAGAAAAAGGAGGCAGCACAGAAAATCATCAACCAGGTAATACACGATACACCATGATACATAACCATACATAATAATATAGGTTATACACAATAAAACGGGAGATAAAAGAAATGAAGCAGGAGAACTAGGCAGTGCAGAAAATCATCAACCAGGTAACACGATGCACAATACACCACGATACATAATATTACAGGTTATACATAATAAAACAAGAAATAAAGGAATAAAACAAGAGAACAAGGTGGCACAGAAAATAATTAACCAGGTAACACCAAAATATACAAAGTTATCAAGTCAGGTAAGATACATTATACACAACCATATACAGAGATAATAAGTCAGGTAATACAATATACACCATACTCCACCATATGCAGAAATATCATCCATCAGTTAAGATGATATATGATACAATGTGATACAGAAATATCATCAGTCAGGTAATATGTTATATGGTAAAGTTTTACAGAGATATCATCAGGTAATGCAATACATGATACACCATGATACACACAAGTAAAACTTGGGGAGCTTTATGTAGAAAATGTTTAAAGAAAGATAGCAGCTAAATTACTGCCACTTGTTACACATAACCACCAACCAATCAAAAGCTTTCTTCCATAGCCTTCTCACAATCTACACAGATTTTCCAATCAGAAAACTAAACCCTACATAAGTTATCCAATCAGAACTGAACCAATCAAAGTCTTCATTTTGTAACCTTCACAGGCTAGCCAATCAAAAAACCAAATTATATCCAGTAGGTTATACAACCAACCAATCAAAAATCTTTTATCATTGTCAGTAGATCTCACCATTCCCCTTATAACCTACAAAGTTTATCCAATCAAAAAATCATAACTTACAAAGTTTATCCAATCAGATGTCCAGATATCTGTCATGGTCTTTGTACTGTCTAAAGAAATGTTTTCAAAATGTTTGATTTTCTCATATGCCCCATCCCCTTAATTACTTAACATACAGTGAGTATAGTGAAAGGTTTATATAATAGAATAGATTAGTTCATCTATATAGATTTTTTTCTTGAAATGATTCATTTTATTTTTTTTTCTTGAAGTGATTTATTTTATTTATGGTGACAGTTGGTTTTTGTATATCATTCTTTTTTTATCTTTTAAATTAGAAAACATTTTTTTATGTTTGTAGATTTGAATGTTATTTTTTTTTTGTCTGTGATCAATGATTTTATTGTTTTGTTTCACAGTTCAACAGCATCACCCGCGTATGTACTGATGTAGAGTTGACATGTACTCAGTGTTACTATTTATAACTCAGAGTTACTATATATAGCACTGTTTATACTGACTGCATTGTGTTTCTATTATACTGACAATCAGGGGGAGGATCTCATAATTTCTGTATGTAAAATCTCCCAGCTGAAGTATTTTGTTGAAGCACAAGGGGTGTTTTTTTAGGAAATGCTACAAAAATTCACACACTGTGAATATACTGGGGTCATTTGAGATCAAATATTTGATATTTTGGAGGTTGACTGAAAAATACACACTTTACATATGAAGCTAATAATTTTTTGTTAGGGATGAACAAAAAAATTCACACATTGCAGCAGCATTGTAATAAAAAAATTAAGCACTGTTAGTATGGCAGTCAGGATTTAATATGGGTTAATTGCTGTCCCGGTACAATAAAGTTTTAAAAAATACACACACAGTCTTTTGTTAGGGATGGACAAAAAAATCACACATTGCAGCAGCATAGTGAGCTAAGAATTGAGCACTAATATTGGTTAATTGCTGCTCTGGTACACTAGGGTTAATTAAAATACACACAAAGTCTTCAAAGAAGGTCCGTTTCATTTGTGAGGGTTTTCTTTTTTTTTTTTCGATTTAATGGGGGAGGGGATTTGAATCCTCAGGAAGGGGGTTGGGCAGGCTCTGCTGTAAGAGAAACAGAGGTTTGAACACTCCACCGTGAAGTCATTACTGTCTGTTAAGGAATTGACATTTGAATTAGGATATTAAGCTTTTGATTCCGATATGGAACTTAAGTATGAGAATATCAACTTAAAAAGAGTCTTCCAGAAATGTCAACAGGAAATGTAGCCATGTGTAAAATACATATACATCATATATATTAGGGGAGGGAACTTAACCAGAAAAAAGGATAAGGAAATGTTGTACAGATTTAAATCTTGAGCTGAAAAGAAATTAATTTTTTGAGTTGATCTTTTTTACTGTGTGACAATGCTTGCACTGAAATCCTTCACACCTGGGACCAGGATTCTGCCACAGTCACCCCTCTTCTTAATTAAAAATCTCAGACTTTTAGTACTCTGCTCTTTAGTAATTAATTTGCTTTTATGTCACCTAGAAGATTCTTAGAGAGCTTTTCTGTACCCCTTGGCTTATATTTTTCCCCCTAGGGTTTTTTGAAAAGTTTATAAAAACTCTCTTGACCAAACTTGTACAAAGAGTGCATCTAATATCTTAGACGTAAATAGTAAACTATCCCTCTACAAGTGCTGAATACAGCATTAAAGGTCATCTCAACATGACCCTTAACCTTTTATATATGACTTGACCTTGACCTCAGTGAAGCAATGGATGACAGTATTTGTTTATATTTTGTTCTGCATGCATTTATATTTTGGTATTTATTTTACTCAATAACACAGTTATACCAGCATATAACCAAGACTGAGTAGATGATATATAACTATGGTATAACACACTCTGTAGGGGCTGAGAGTGATGTTAGCTTGCACCAAGCTGTTTATATTGATGTGTGTGTGTGTGTGTATATGTATGTGTGTGTGTGTGATACGAGTGAGTTTGTGCCTGTGCATACATATGTAAGAGATTTCCTTTTTGGGAGAGATTTTCTTTTATTTTGAATTAAAAACATCAGCATGATGCAGATTGAAGTTTACAAACTGTCAGAACCCATGAATTATAACAAATACCCCTTATGTCCAACTGCATTAATAATTTTAATGGAAATCCCTCTTTAACCCATTTCCTTTAAGTACTCTGAATTTTTGACCCCACATTACCTGTATGTATGACATGTGGCATGGTAACTGATTTTCTAGGTTTAATATTCAATTTGCAGATTTACTATTTTTGGTATTTTAAGTATATCTTAATTACTAATGTTAATGTTGGGATCATTTTCTTGTACACTCAGACTTTTATTTACTTAAAGTTAACATAGTTTAAGTTACTCAACAGAATATTTACGTCAATCTGTCTAATCGGTATATAATACTATATATTAATATTTGTTGCGTCTAGTATTATAAAGAACTATAAATTTTAACATGATAAATTATAGAGAGTTATTTTAATTTTTTTTAAGCATTGGAAATTTGATAAAATTTGATTTTCTGTGACAGGATACTGCTTGGCATGGTTAAGTTAGAAGATTGATTTTGTAATTTTGAAATGATGAATTTAAGAAATGGCATTCTTGAATGATTTATAATTGTTTGTGTACAATTTCTGCTCCCTGAGTTATAAATAATGACTACTCCCTTTGTGTTTTGTAGAATCTTCAGTTAGGTCCCGAGGCCAAGATTGAAGCCACGATGCAACATGAGATTACTCGACTCACATCCGAAAACCTGGTGAGTATCGCTCAACATGAAATTACTCGAGTCACATCCAAAAACCCTGGTGAGTATTGCTCAACATGAGATTACTCAACTCACATCCAAAAACCTGGTGAGTATTGATCAACATGAAATTTATACTCAACTCACATCTGAAAACCTGGTGAGTATTGCTCAACATGAGATAACTCAACTCACATCTGAAAACCTGGTGAGTATTGCTCAACATGAGATAACTCAACTCACATCTGAAAACCTGGTGAGTATTGCTCAACATGAAATTTATACTCAACTCACATCTGAAAACCTGGTGAGTATTGCTCAACATGAGATAACTCACATCCAGAAACCTTATGAGTATTGCTCAACATGAGATTACTCAACTCACATCTGAAAACCTGATGAGTATCACACTCCATCATTTAAGACACCACAATTATTGAACCTTTTGTTGAAATGCATTGAATTATGGCAGAAGATACACCACATGAGGAAGTTGAATTGAATTTTTATTGAATAAATATATTTACTACAATTAACCCCCAAAACACATGGAATCACTTTAATACATGAAAAGAAATATGATGTAATATAAAAATGGAAGTAGTTTTTTCACTGAGTTTTGTTTTTTAGGACTTGAGAGAGAAGGCTGACAAGCAGGCAGACCAGATCCGTAAAATGAAAAAAATGCTGAAGGTGTATGCCAAAAAACTCAAAGACGGGGACGGTAAGTTTTAGATTCAATTGGGGGGAGGATGTAAGCCAAGAAGCTCAAGGATGGGGCCATTAAGTTAAAAGAGAATGTGGAGGGGGGTGGTTAAATAAAGTTTTTACATACAAATAAAAATCAACAGTTGGAAAGAGGTGAAACCAAATACCTGAGTAATGGGCAAGGACTGTAGAGGGAGAGGTGTACATTAGAGTATTTGCTATGTTGTATGAAAAGTGGCTGGGTTGGGGGGGGGGGGGGAGTGTGTGTGGGAGGGGGGAGGGGTTGATATCACCAGATAAAGAGACAGATTCATTATTAAAAAAAACTTAACAGAAGATGTTCAAAGTAGGTAAATATACATTATGTCTAGTGGATGAGATCTTAGAACAGAAGATGATCTAAGTAAATAAATATATATTATGTCTAATAACAGTGGCAGAGATTGAAGCCGAACTGGAGAAAGACGACAAACAGAAGAAGGCAGAGGACAATGTGGCGACAGTTAAACACCTGGACAGGACGTATATGGGAATGTTAGAGTATAAAAAGGAGGATGAGGGACGACTCGTCAAGTGTCTCATCATGGGTATGTGTCATCTCAATTATCATCTAAATTATCATCTACTTAATAAATATACACAGATTAAGTGTCTTGTCAAGGATGCATGTCATCTAAATTATCATCTACTTAATAAATATAAACAGATTAAGTGTCTTGTCAAGGATGCATGTCATCTAAATTATCATCTACTTAATAAATATACACAGATTAAGTGTCTTGTCAAGGATGCATGTCATCTAAATTATCATCTACTTAATAAATATACATAGATTAAGTGTCTTGTCAAGGATGCATGTCATCTAAATTATCATCTAAAAGATCATCTACTTAATTAAGGACATACGCAACGTACCTTACCCACTGATAATTTTCCAAGATATTCTTAATTTAAGATTAAAGTGCCATGAGATGTTCGTAGACAAAAAATATGCATGCATTACCAGGGGTTTTGAAAAGATATCAATTGATGAAAATTCTTGTATAATTCAAAGAAAAATATACAAAAATTTCTAAGCATATATTCTAGATGTTTTGTTTATCCAAACTTGTTTTAGAAGAAGTGTACAACAGCATATATAGACATTAAAATGTAGCAAACAGTTCCTTTAAGTATTGGAACTCTTCAACTCCAAGGAAAAAGACAATAAAGTTCAAACTATGTTGCGTATGTCCTTAAACTTGTGCATGGGAATGCTATTGCATTATCACTCTATATCATGATCATACTTAATTACTTTCATGTTGTTGTGGCTGAACTTCAAATTTCTTATTTAATATCTCTTTTAAAGTATTTTTTTCAAAATAATTAGATCTGTAGAAAAACAGTTTGTAATGTAGACTCTTTCTTCTTCAGATTTGAAGCCCAAGGTAGCTCAGGGTCTGTTACCGGGTCTGCCGGCGTACATCCTGTTTATGTGTGTACGACACACGGATTATATCAACGACGACGAGAAAGTCCGCACTCTCCTGACAAACACAATCAACGGCATCAAAAAGTGTGTCAAGGTGAGTCAAACATTAAAAATTGTGTCAAGATTAGTCAGTCATCAAAAAGTGTGTCAAGGTCAGTCAGTTGTCAGAAAGTGTTTCAAGGCTTGGTGGTGTTTGGATGATTTACTTTCAATGTAAACAGCAACAAGCATGCTGTTCTTATTGATGTGGTATTTTATTAAAAATGATAAACAAGTTCTTCTGTTGTTTGGAGCAAGATTTCAAATAAGTCTTTTAAAAGTTTTATGTTTATCTTAATATGTTTTTATAGAAACACAACAAAGAGTTGGAGAGAGTGATACTCTGGTTGGCGAACACGTGTCGACTTCTACACACCCTTAAACAGTACAGCGGCGAAAAGGTAAGATTGATATAGATTGATACTAAAGGGTAAGATTCCCTTTACTGTTTCAATATGAAGCAAATACCAGTATACAGCTGGTCTCATAGCATTATATATCTCTTTTAGGTTTGGTCAAGTTATTAAAAATTTACTCTTTTTTCACTGGGTACATTACATTCACTTGCAACTGATTATGAAATTTATGTTTCAGACATTCCAGTCAGAGAATACAACGAGACAGAACGAGCACTGTCTACGTAACTTTGATCTATCGGAGTATAGGCAGGTGTTTAGTGACCTCGCCGTGTGGATCTTCCAGACGATGATAAAATACATGGAGGAGGTCATCCAGCCCATGGTCGGTAAGATATCTGTCTGTCTGTCTGTCTGTCTAACTGTCTGTCTGTCTGTAACTGCCTGATAAAATACATGGAGGAAGTCATCCAGCCCATGGTCGGTAAGTTGTCTGTGTCCAGTTGTCCCAATGACTCTCTGTGTATGTCTGTCTGTCTAGTTGTCTGACATTGTTTGTGTCTGTCTAACTGTATGATAAAATACATGGAGAAGATCATTCATCTCAGGGTCAGTAAGTTGTCTATGTAATTGTCCATCTCTCCAGATATATCTCTTTGATTTTTCTGAATGTGTATAAGTATTTTTCTCCCTGAAGTAAAACTTGTATATAAAGATTTTCACCTTTTTGGCAGAAACTGTCATGGACATAAATAGTAATATCTGATGGAGTTGTCTTCCCTTGTAGTGCCGGCGGTGCTGGAGCATGAGGCTATCGCGGGTCTGACGGCTAGTAAACCCTCAGGAATGAGGGGGCGCAGCAGCAGTACCGCTCAGGACGAGGACGTACGAGAACTGTCTCTTGACACACTCATGAAATCTGTAAGTCACTAACAAAAACTGGACCAATCAGAGTGCCTCAAACTTTCTGATTATATAATAGATGTTAAATATTTAAAAATTAGTTATTGTAGCATAGACTTATTGTTGAGTTAAAGTTTGATGTCAAGTTTGTCTACACATTCTATCTTAGCATGTGGTTTTAACTAACATGTTCTTGTGTTCGTTCACAGTTGAACAAATACAACCAAGTTCTGTCTCAGCATGCAGTGGATCCTGAATTAGTCAAACAGGTGTTCAGACAGGTATGTCCAATCAAACTCATAAGTTTTTCTTTTGTTTTCTAGGGGTGGGGTTGGGGGTACATTTATTATGGTAAAGTCCACTGTAGTTTACAGATACTGATAATACGCTTCAGAGGGTTTTTTTCACACTTGTCTCTCTGTGTTTAAGTTGTATTACTACATCGGATCCAATGCCCTGAACAACCTTCTACTGAGAAAGGATATGTGTAACTGGTCCAAAGGCATGCAGATCAGGTAATTATAGAACAGATCAGGTAATTATAGAACAGATCAGGTAATTATAGAACAATCTTCTTATAAAGAAAGGATATGTGTAATTGGTCCAGATAAAGTGATACAATAACATGTATAAAGTAATACAGGTAAATTATTACGAGCAGTTTTGAAGGTATTTTTAGTACAATCAGGTTGTATAACTTACAGTAAATGTAAGCTAGGAAGAATAATGCTTTTTTTAGCTCACCTGAGCTGAAAGCTCAAGTGAGCTTTTCTGATCACCCATTGTCCATCGTCCGTCCGTCCGTCTGTAAACTTTTCACATTTTCAACTTCTTCTCAAGAACCACTGGGCCAATTTTAACCAAGCTTGGTACAAAGTATTCTTGGTTAAAGGGGAGTTTAAATTGTTAAAATAAAGGGCTAAGTCCCCTTACAAGGGGAGATAATCAAGAAAAGAAAAATAGGGTGGGGTCATTAAAAAATCTTCTTCTCAAGAACCACTGGGCCAAAAAAGCTGAAACTTATGTGGAAGCATCCTGGGATAGTGAAGATTCTAAATTGTTAAAATCATGACCCCCGGTGGTAGGGCGGGACCACAATAGGGAATCCAAGTTTTACATTGAAATATATAGGAAAAATCTTTAAAAATCTTCTACTCAAGAACCACTTGGCCAGAAAAGCTGAAACTTATGTGGAAGCATCCTGGTGTAGTAAAGATTCTAAATTTTACAAATCATGACCCCCAGGGGTAGTGTGGGGCCATAATAGGGAATCCACGGTTTACATTGAAATATATAGGAAAAATCTTTAAAAATCTTCTTCTCAAGAACCACTGGGTCAGAAAAGCTGAAACTTATGTGGAAGCATCCTGGGGTAGTATAGGTTCTAAAATTCAAATCATGACCTCAGGGGGATAGGGCGGGAAATCTGGTAAAGAACAGCATGGCCAAAGTTACTCAGGTGAGCGATGTAGCCCATGGGCCTCTTGTTTTTCAATTATAACAGTTTTTTTTTATTTAAAAAATAGGAATATTTCTGTTCAAAAAAATGGCAAGCAAGGTTAACCAAGATGTCTGATGTCACAAATCAAAATGATGTAAAGTAATAATGATCTACATTGGATGGAATTTATTTGTTTGCTGTTTACAGGTATAACCTGAGTCATCTCGAGCAGTGGCTCCGAGATAATAAACTGAACGAGTCCGGTGCTCAGGCCACACTTGAGCCCATCACTCAGGCATCTCAGCTCCTACAAGCTCGCAAGTCTGAAGCAGATGTAGACAGTATATGTGAGATGTGCTCAAAACTTACCACAGCCCAGGTAACTCAAATGTCAAATTAAGATTTTGTTAGAATTTGGTAAATGTTAATTCACAAAATCTCTGGTATATTAAAGCTCGTAAAATCTCAGCAATTTCTTAAGATTTTTTTTATTGAATATGCCTTTTTTTCCCTTTTTAGATTGTGAATTCCCCTTTATTCTATTTTTAGATTGTGAATACCTTTTTTCCTATTTTTAGATTGTTAAGATCCTAAACCTGTACACACCTGTGGATGAATTTGAGGAGAGAGTTCCGATCAGCTTCATCCGTAAAATCCAGGAGCGATTAAAATCGACGAAGAAGGGGGAGGACAACACCCTCCTTATTGACACTAAGTATTCGTTCCCCGTCACGTTTCCGTTCAATCCGTCAAGCATTACTCTGGACTCTATAGAGATCCCAGAGAGCTTACATCTAGACTTCTTATCACGTGTTTAATGTCTACAAGTCATAGGATCTATTTATATATCTGGTCAGATTTATTACTATTTATGTTTCTGATTGGTCAGATTTATTCTTATCGATGTTTTTGATTGGTCGCTTATTTACCCTGTACTGTGTGATAGCCAATAGTTTTTTTTTGTTATATAATTTTGTGCTTTTTTATTGGTCTGTTTATAGATTTTCACTTTCTGTGATTTACCTAGTATTCTTCTACATATCCTCTTTAATAAAAGTCAAAGTCAAAGGCCGCTTTCTCAATCTGAGTTCAAAAGGTCATGACCCTTTTGTGAATTATTGTCACTGTATACTAGGATGAAATAATTTTGTGATACTCTAAATTTTTTCCCCATTTTATGTGCTTTTTTTTTAATCTTAGCTGCTGAAATACTAAGAACATTATATCAATGTGAATCTGATTTGAAACTTCAGATCAGTATAGGGTATGCTAAGATGTATATACACAAGATAATTTATAATATATCTTTAAACAATAATGAAGCATATCTTAACAGCACAAAGTCTTAACAAAGTTACACCACAGACAGATAACTCTTACTTTTTGGTGCTTTTTCACTGTGTAATTTTTTTTCATTAATGTTTTAGTCTTGTGTTGTTTGCATTCTGTTCAAGGCATTCATGCATTATTGACCTATTTATACTAATCAGGTTTATACCGTTTTACTTTTGTGACAAATTGTGATAAAATTTTCTTCTGTGAAACTTTTGTTTATGAATGACATTGGAATTGTTTGTGTCTAAGTTAGATAACGCTGATGAGGTCATCCCTGTATTAAACAAACATCCTCAATAAGTGTGGAAATATGCTTAAATAAATGCACACATGACCATGATGACTAAACGTTAAACAAAACTGCTTCCTAATCGGTCAAAGTTAGATAACTCTCCATAAAACAGAGAACAGAATTGATTTTTTTGTTTCATGACCAAAGTTATTTAATCAAATCTCACTTAAAATTAATTTTAAATTAAATTTAGAAGCACGTATATATATGCATTTTCAGAACTATATATGAATTCATAATTTACTTACCTTGTAAAAACTAAAGGATACTTGTCCCTTGTGGACTGTAGGGAACTGTCTCTCTCACTCAATGACGTATCATTCAAATTGAAATCACGATTCTTGTTTAGTGTTACAGGATTATCCCTCCGTACTACATCATTGTATCAACCCTGTTATAATCTGTTCGAGTGTTTGTGTCTCTCCTAAGTCTGTGATGTACTGTAGACCTATATATCTGTCTAATGTCTATATTGCAGCATCGTTGACATTTGTGTGGTAATGTGTGTGTGTAATTATTTGTTTGTTTGGGATCTTGTACATGACTTTTTCTGAGACAGGCATTCCTATTATTTAATCTCCTAGCATGTAAACTGGAGGACAGATATATATATGTTTTTTACTAAACACGGTTGACTTTCCCACCGGATAATATTGGGGCTCAACTCCAAATCAAACAATAACAATAGCTGCAGAGACTTGTTAATTAATTGAACAAAGTAATGTTTAACTGCACGTTTTCATAATCTCACACTGAATTTTAGAAGGTAGAATTATGATTTAAATTTAGGTAGACTTAGCTGTAAAGATTAAAAGTAAGTGTGTTTTGGGTTATGGCAAGGCAAGTAACTCTTCACAGAGCTAATATACTACCAGAGTTATCTAACTTGTATCAGTTACACCATTAAATGTGTGTTAAATAACTTTTACTATCGGATGTTATATATATACCGGTATACATGTGTTATTTATTTGTATTGTTAAATTTGTATAGTAATTAGAATATTTTCTGTGTTTTTATACATATACATTGCAAAATTTTATGGTATGAATTGAAGAGCATATCTTAGTATGTTATAATTAAATCAATCTGTTAATACAAAGAAATATAGATCGCTGCAGACCTTGCTTTTATTTAATGAGCTAGAATTTTCTTTGGGCTGGTTGAAACAATGTAAAGGAAACAATGCACTTTATACCTCAGGTTTACAGACATGTGTTGTCTGTCTGTCTGTTTGTTTATTTCCCTGAAACTTTGAAAGATGGCCACCTTGATTTAATGTAGGGTTGTCCCTAACAATTAAAATAGCAGGAGACGTTAAAAATGTAGTAGGAGGTCTGAGGTTCCTTCCTTAACAGGGGGATGAGGGGGAATACCAGAGTAGTCAGGGGAATTATGTCATTATTGGCGGGGAAATTCCCTGGCCCCCAGGTCTTAGGAACAACTCTGTAATGTATTGTTTTTCTATCTTGAAAAGAAACACACCTTTGGATAAAGGAAAACTGGGAACTAAAATGACTGCATTCAATTTCAAAATTGCCAAAATATGAGGGGAAAAAACAAAGTTTGCATAAAGCATCTTTTTACAGCCAAAACTGTTGAGCTAAATATCATAATTCATAGACATCTGTTTGAATTAAAACTTCTTAAACAGTATGCATTTCATCACATTTGATAGCATAGTGTTTCACAATCTTTTTTCAGCAAAAACTACTTTTTTGTAATTACGGAGTGTTCTTGTATTTGGTATGACTATATTGGTGCTGTTCTTAATTTTGGGAAGTTTTATGGAACCTTGGTAATTTATTTGAAAAACTGATTTTTGGTTTAAGTTCAATCTTTTTTCGTAGAAAATCAGACATTCCACTTCAAAGATCGACATTCCAGAATTTTTATGCGAAATTAAGCAAACTAAAATATATTGTATTTTTGATTTTTTTCCCATGTGCTAATGTAAATACAAAGCTCTAAACCAAAAATTCAAATCTACTTAATTTTTTAAAGATTTTTTTTAAGTTCATAATGCTGCATTTTTTTGAAAAGTAACATTATTTCATTGCCAAATTGTGAGCTTTTCTATTTTCTTCCTTTCTTTCTTTTTTATTTTTTTTATAGATATTGTATCTATTCTCTCAGTCTAAATTTGTGTTTCAAACTGTGTATTTTTCTTTTTTATTTTGGGAGGGATAGGGGTTGAGTAAAAGAATTTTTGCATATAAATGTTGATAATACAATAAAATATGATGATAATATTACTTCCTGAAAACCAGGTGGAAGTATTTAGTGTGTAGCTGTATATGATAATAGTTGCACAGGTTTATCATAGTTTTGTGTTTTGAAAAAAATGCAATAAGTAAATTATGATAAATCTATTATTATAATAAACATGCTATTGTAATAAGTGTATTATTATAATAACAGGTTTTAATGACTTGAGTAGTGTATCTATTTATAGAATTCAGTGTGGCAAGATTAATTTTCTACAAACCACACTTTATATGTTGCAGGTGAAATGCTTTGCTACGTGGCGCAGGCCATGATACACAATCAGCAGTTTACTTAAAAAAAAAAATTAAAAATTAATAAAAAAGTTAAACATGCAAATTTTCTTGTTTTGTTTGTGAATATTGGAGAATGCAAATGGGGGTATGCAGAATATAGATGTGTAAGACTATAGGTTCAGATTAGATCACTCCTTACATTCCTGGGGCCCGTTTTACAAAATACATGTAGTAAGACCAAATTCAATTCTGTTTATAACTTTCTTAATTATATTATATTGAAAATGGTTTTAATCTTTTTAAAAGGAATGTAGTAAGATATTTTTACACTGGCAATTTTAAACAGAATCTTTAATTTTTCAAAAGTTTACATTCAACTTAAGTTTTTGGTCTTAGTCGTAAGTTCTTTTGTAAAACGGGCCCTTGGATCGTAATTGACCTCAAAGGAGCTGAGAAATACAGTATCACAAATCAAGGTTCACTGACCCTCTGATACATGTAAAAAGAGCGATAACTCATACTTCTTTTAACGACTATTATTCCATTTAAAAAATTGTGAAGTTAACAGGCCGTTTCTGTTAAATTTTGCATCGCAGGGTATATGTTGAAATTGTTTGCATTTACATTATAATGTAGATTTCTTGTGGAAAATCCATATCTTGTATGATTAACAGAGGGGTGGTGGACCTAAATCTACTTGGCTATTTTGGAATACAAGTGGTGTGATGTATACCGGTTTTTGTAAATTGAAGCGACTTTAGTCAGACTATTCAAATGGGTAGAAAAGGGGTACAAACACAATCTTCGCTTCTGTAACAAAGAAATGGCCAGGAAAGGAAAACTGAATTTAAATGTTGTTTTCGTATAAAAACAAATATATACTGTATTTCACCTCTCCAAAATTTCTTTTAAACATTACTAAATAACATTGACAACATAAGTTGACCTTTAACATGACCTTGAGTCAACGTCATGAAACACCTCAAACACAAACTCAATCTAGATAAAAGAAGATGGGCGTGTTTGGCGTGTGATCTGCAGGAATAAAGCGTACGAAACATTTATAGTTTAAATGTCTACGATCTGGTCGGCTGACCACAGCTGGACATATTCTACAAAGTTACGCACATGGGAAAATGTTACATTTACCTTGAAATACTTTGTCAAATTAATATATCAGTCCACTTATCTTAATGATTACTACATGTAAAACTTAGTAACGCTTGACATAAATAATAAACACCTATAGCGTATAGTTAAATGCGATTACATGTATATAACTAAGTATCAGTAGGTTGGAAGAATTGCTTTCGCTTTCGGTGCAACAGAACCAGAATGTATCTATTTAAAAATAAATCAGTATATAAAATTAAACAGACAAATGAACTGATTGTTTGTACTAAAAAAAAAATATTAACGCTCCATGCGAGGATCGAACCAAAAATATTTCTTTTACATTGCACTGTACGGGTAACGCATACTACTGAGCTATCACCACTACACACACTTTATGGTTTTTAAAGCGACAATGAAGCACCGCATTTACACATCAGAATTTTTTGGAAAAAGTTCATTTTTTATCGTCTCTGGGTCTTCTCTCCTTTTTTACAAATGTTTGTTAGTTTCTTTGCATTAAAATGCATACAAATAACGTTTCAAAATCATGGAGATCGAGATGACCAAGAGGTAGCAAATTTTTAGAAAAACGTGTTTGAAAATGTAACATTTTGTATCAAATGACTCATCTAGCCAATTTTCAAATTCTTTTTTAGCAAATCAAAATAAAATATCGGGAAAATATTTCCCTTTCCTATTTCACAGGAACCCGATACATCAAAAGAATGCTAAAATTTCATGTAACAGGTCAATGAATTTTTCACTTTTCAAGTGCGCCCAGATTCCTGCCGAATGCCAATCAAAAGCGCCCTCGTTCTTTGAATTAGGCCTATGTTATGAGTACTCAAATTTGATTTTTATTCCAATACCATAGTTCAAAAATTTTTCTAGATATAACAAACTTCCCATCTTCCCTCAGCCTCGATGTTGACGAATTTCATGATACCCTTAAGGAACCTATAAACACTGCTCACTGAAGAGTTCTAATTCCATTGCAGTTTTATATGCAGTTAGAGTGATCTGCTCTTTGATGTAATATAGAATAAACGGAAATCTTAAGGTCAAGATTTAGTAAATGAAAAGAGCCTACAGATTTCTCAAACTTGAGAAATAAATTCCTTTTATGATGCTTTATAACTATAGCTCGGTCAAATAAGGTGTATCGGGGCATAATTTGCAAGAAAACAAGACGAAAAACCATCTTGTAAACTGTCATTTTCAATGAAAAATTAAGAAAGCCAGTCACGAATATGGGAGTTTTTTTCCACATCAGACGAAGGAAATGTATTCAGATTGCCTACAGTCTCTCAGAAAACGGTAATTTGTATGTTCTTAGCCTATTCTTTAAAATAATGTAAAATTGAATATAGGTATCGGGATTACTTTTCACATGATTTCAAATTGAATGCCATGAAAATACTTTATTTTCTACATAATTCTATTGGAGCTGTAAAGTACGGGAAAAGGAAAGTTTAAATTGATTATGACGTCATAATGGATCTAGCACCGAAAAGACGGTCTAAAGTCATTTACTAGATCTTGACCTTAAGTAAATGACACAACTTGAAATAGATTATAAAGTATTCATAACATTATTTTAGACCAGTACAAAGTAATTGAAAACATTATTTACATGTATATTCCCAATGTTAGGAAAGAACATTGATTTCTGTTCACTACGCAGCTAGGTTAAGGACTCCCATATATACGTCAGCCTATGCAGAGGTTCGGTAAAGCTATTATGACGTCACGTTAAAACAATACAAATGAATCTCGATGAATAAATACTATATGTTCTTTTTAAAACACATTAAATACTTTCGTTTATCATAAATATTATAAAGATAAATGGATGTGCAACTTATCTTGCCATAATAGCACTTAGCGTATGTAGAATGAAAGCCAGCTTGATCTCGCTGTACTTACTGAGATGACGTCATTTCTTAGTTTGACACGCAGTTTCTCTGTACTTGAGGCGTGGATCAAGCTTTTATCGTAGCTTGTAAAAATAAAAATAAATACGAAACACGCGTAGTCGGACCAAAAGAGAGAAATATTCTGAAATATATTAATCCACATTTTATTGTCAAACTAAATTGATAATGTGTAGACTTTATATTAGGCCGTAGGGAGCACATTTGTACAGTAACATGCTAGAATGACAGGTCCAGCCCCTCGAAAATATCAAAAGTTCAACGATATCCGCTTCACTATAAATTCTGAATTTTTAAACACGTGTAGCTATTATCCCTACTATTCTGAAAAGTGCTGGGAGCTGGTTGTGCATTGTTGATTTATTCCGTAATGTAACATTATTCCAATGTGAATTAC